ACCTTATAAATATGTCATCAGCTGAGGGCAAGCTAAGCCCTTTGCTTGCTGTTGATGGTGGTAATAATGAGATGCCAGTGGATCCTGCTATTCAGCGAGAATCAATGATTGATCAGCGGAATCCCAGTCCCTTCATAACTTCTGAAGGAAACCTGCAAATGCAAGATATTCCTGGCGGTTCAGAAAATTTTTCACTGCAGCAAGTAGGATATGCTGCTGAAATGTCCCGCTCACAGTTAAAATCCTATATTGGTTACAAGGCAGAAGAGTTGTATGTATATAGGTCATTGCCTCTTGGTCAGGATCGAAGGCGCAACAGATACTGGCAGTTTGTCACATCCAATTCAAGAAATGATCCTGGCTGTGGTAGGCTCTTTGTTGAGTTGCATGACGGACACTGGAGGATAATTGATTCTGAAGAGGTGCTGATCTATCTTAAGTGGCCTCTGTATGATTAAGTTGTTTGCCTACATTGGCGGGTATATGTGTGCAATTTGTTATCTATCATTTGTTCCATGCTTCTCTCTTAAAGTTTATGTGGTAATAGAGGCAAGTGTTACCTTGGTAATGCCTCAAGTGATGCTTTTGGAAGTTGTGATGATATCTGGTAAATTAGTATATATATTGATATTCAGATGTTGCTGCCTAACATTGTTCTTTTCCCTTGATATAATTTCCTCACAGTTCTAATTGATCTGTGCAATGCATGCAGGGTTTCAATTCTTTGTTAGCATCTTTAGATGTACGTGGGATTAGAGAATCATATCTTCACTTCATGTTGCAAAGGATAGAGTCATCCTTTAAAGAATCTGTTAGAAGAAATGCAATCTCCACTGATGGCAAGAGAACAAGTGAAGATAAAATCAAGAGAGAGGCTCTTGAAGTGGCACATGGCTCTGACGCTTGCATAGGCATTGACAGCCCTAGCAGTTCTGTATGTGGAGTGGATCCTGAGACATCAGAGACCTCCACATCTTTTAAAATTGAGCTTGGAAGAAATCGACGTGAGAAAGATGGTGCTCTAACCAGATATCAGGAGTTTGAGAATTGGACATGGAAGGAATGCCTAAGTCCTTCCGTGCTATGTGCCATTAAATATGGGAAGGAAAGATGTGTGCCACTTCTCAATGCCTGTGATCGATGTCATGAGATACATTTCATGGACTATGATAACTGCCCCTCATGTTATTGGACCTCTACAACCTCAAAGAGCGAATTATATCTCTCCGAGTCTGTTGCGCCTTCTGAACACAAATTGCATATGCCGTCTGACCCTACTAATTACGGTTCAGTGTCTTGCCCTGTGAAAATAAGATTGCTGAAAGTGTTATTGGCTTTGATGGAGGCAAGTTTATCCTATGCTTTTAATATCTACAAGCTCTTTACATTGTGATCTTTTGAATTGTGCTTACCTGAAGTTTCTTGCACCTTATGGTTTTCTTCATGATGACTTGGCAGGCTTTTGTTCCTCCAGAAGCTCTTGAGTCCAGTTGGACTGACGATTTTCGCAAGTCTTGGGGTATGAAGCTGCATACTTCATCGTCAGCTTCAGAACTTCTTCAGGTTCTACTTAACTTTTATGGTTATGCTGTTACTCTATTGAACTTCTAGCACTGTTATCCTTCTCCCAGAGAAACAGGGAAATGCCTTTCCCTTTGACTTTATGTGCCTGGAAGCATTTTTTTTTATGGATCTTAAAAGAATGGAGTAAAGTTTTGCATTCCATTGGTACTTCGTATCGTCTTTTTATTGCTTGCTGTCTTATTTCATCCTTTAATTGTCTGATGGCTAGTATATGACCAGACTTTTTCTTCCTAATGGTATTCCTTGCGTAGTATCCTATCTTCTCAAAACTTGTTTTTTTTTTTTCAGGCTTTGACATTGTTGGAGAGTGCCATTAAGAGGGATTATTTGTCCCCTAATTTCGAGACCACTAATGAATTGTTGAGCATCTCTTCTGGATTTGCTACTGATATATCTGCCAGTTTTGAAGCTTTGATTGTACTCCCGTGGATACCCCAAACAACAGCTGCTGTTGCGTTAAGGCTCATGGAATTTGATTCAGCCATCTCTTATTCGCTCCATCAAAAGGTGGAGTCTGCTGTGAACGATGGATCTGGGGACTTTGAGGTGAGTTGCTTGTTCAATGTAATGAACTCTGATTTTTGTTTATGAGGTTGCATAATGATAAAGGAAGGTACATAGTGGTGGAATAACCAGTGTTGAGACTAAATATTTCGAAGATATTCGATGCTGTGCAACCCGTTACTGCGAGACTTCGCAGGTTATTACTTCTATATTTGATCTCTGTAAGCCGGCCCGAGTTGAATTGGAGTTGTATGGCCATGATTTGAAAAGATGAAAACTTCTTTTTACCTTGCTTGGCTTTTATAATTTCACATACAATTCAGTTTATCTCGGAGCAGTAATGTATCTTTCTCAATATCGACCCAGAATATAATCAGTCTGCGAACATGGCCTCAGAATTTATGCATGAACTTTATGGAATAGCGGAATTTTCGTCCTTTAAATCCTTCTTGATTGTTTATGCATTTAATGGTTCTGTCCTTTTTCCCAGAAGTTTCCATCTAGATACATGGGCACGAGGAGTTGGCACAACCATGATAGTGCAGCAACTCCTTTTCGAGGTGGGCTTGTTGATGAAAACTGGGTTGACTCTGGGCCGATACCTACCGGGTCTGGTCGACGACGGGGCCGGGGAACTGGAAGGGGCCTCAGTCGCACAAGCGGTCGGAGATCCCAGAGAAGGGTATCCGGTGGTTCTAAGTTCGACTCTGGCAAGAAAGCCAGAGTTACAAATGGTGAGAGAGGGCGATCACGTGGACGAGGCGGGCGTAGGCGAGGACGACGTAGCACTAGAAATCGGCAGAGAGCAGTGAAAAAGGAAGTTCCTGTTTTTGGTGAAAGGGAAGCCACGAAAGAACAGATGATGGAGGAATCACCTGAAGTCTTGATTGAGGATGGATGGAATGGGGATGACGGTAATAATGCAGGGCTGAATTTGGAGGAAGCCGAAAATAGCAGCAGCTCAGAGAGTTCAGAGTTTGAGGATGAAGATGGGCAAGCGACCGGGTCGTACAGATACAATCTTGTGGCTGATGATTACTCCAAAGGCCTCAATGGCAAGGCCGACGAATTGTCAGAAGCAAGCGAAGATAATCTAGATGGCAATGAGGAAGTTGAGGAGGAGGAGGACGAGGAGGACGAGGACGAGGGGGACGATGCGGTAGATGACAGAGGCGGAGATTTAGATGTTCGAGAATACATAAACGGGGAATTCGATGAGGAGGAGGAGGAGGATGATGCAAGAGCTATTGATGGGTTTGAGAATGTGGACCCTGATGAAGGTACAGGATCTACATCTTCGGAGTATAGTGACTGAAGATCGCATGTTACCCGCTGGAAAATTGTTACTCCATCATATTGTTTCAACAGTAGGTTCTTAGCCCTAAATGTATTTAGAGAGAGAGAGAGAGAGAGAGAGAGAGAGAGAGAGAGAGAGAGAGAGAGAGAGAGAGAGAGCTGTTGGAAACTTGGAATCACTCAGGGTCAAGGCAATTCTGTCACAAGCAGATGTATATTCGCCGCTGCGCTGTGTACTTTGATAGATCAAATACTCTCTAACATTTGGTGATAATGAGGAAGAAAGCTTTAAATATTCACTTCTATTCCGATGGCCTAAAGAAAAAAGTACTTCCATTTCACTTCCCATTCATGTTTTGGCTCCTCTCGCTTACTTGGGTTGTTCCCGCTCGGCGCCTGACGACGTGACCCGTGCAGTGCTTTGGCCACCGCGTTTAAGCGACCGACGAGCATGGACAAGTCGAGTCAGGGGTGCCGAACCCATCATTTTGGAACACGCGACATGGCTTGTTCATGTTACAGTCAAGAACCAGGTCCCCTATATTCCTGGTTCTTCTCCTCATGGTCTCCAAATGCTCCTGCAGTTCAACTTGTGCTGTTCTTTTTTGGCGACTTCATTACATATTACCGTGCAATCATATTCACAGGCTGCGTGATTGATCAAAGTTGGAAGCCACCTTCGAGGAAAAGTGGGTGATAAAAGAGAACATTGCACTCCTTTCTCCAAGAGAGAGAGAGAGAGAGAGAGAAGAGCAGTGACGACTAATCCGATCGATCATCCGAGCAAGAGTAAGGTTTCTATATACTCCCAAGTTCTGCATGAGAAGCTAGGACTGAGAATTCAACTTTCTCGATTGCAAAGTAGTAAGCGCTGCAAGGTCCAAATACCCCGACGGTCCTTACTAAAGTGTTGCACCCGCATGGTTTCTCCTTGGTTGAGCGGTTAGGTAGAGCCTGGGTCAAATTTATCGTACCTCGACCAACCCATTTATCTCTGGCGATCTTAAAGACGTACCCCCTCACATCGGCTCGGTGCATTCGCGGTTTTGCTTCCAGAGTGTTCCCAATAAAACTTGTACCCAAGGACTACCAAGAAAGGAGGGGGAGCGTGCCTCATCATCTAAATCAGCATTTGGTCGGTCGGTGTTCCACCCACGTTCAACTATTGATTTGGTAGATAATTAGGACCTTCTTTTGCTGGTCATAAGTGATCATTGGGAATATAACAAGCTTCAAAGTTTAACAAATCAAATTAACAAATTGCCTCCACAGTTACATGCTACCCTCGGGCATTATCCAAACGTGCAAAACAATTAATCCCCACGACTAATGCAAATTTCTCGATCCGCTCCACACGCAACGAATAAGGCTCAATCCACGAAATAACTACGAGAGGCAGATGCTGATGATTCGAACGCGGGATTTCATCGTACACGAACGAATAGCTCGACCGACTCGATCCTTTCACAGTTTTGCTGACACGGAGCCTAAAAACACTCTGGGTTGATACAAATTTGAGAACTACTACAACTCATCCTCCTGCAACTGTTGTACACCAACCCCAATGAATGTGGGTGACATCTACAACTTCCAAAATGCTGGAAAGAAGAAGAAGAAGGAGAAGGAGAAGGAGAAGGAGAAGAAGAAGAAGATGGTGTGGCCCTAAAAATAAAATAAAACAATGGAGGAAGCAAAAGAGAAGAACACACACACACACACACACACACAAGGGATCAGGAGGAAAGACTTAGCAAGGAATCTGATCGGTGAACCAACCGAGCACCTTGACCGGGAGCTTCACCAGATCCACCGCCAGGTTCGCCAGCCCGGCGAAGCATATGCAGCACGGGCACAGGCAACTCAGTATCGTCCTGCACAATTCGAAAAACCCATTTGAAAAAAAGACCAATGCGCAGTTCACGGGGGAGATCGAAACACCAACAAAAAAACGAACGAACGAACGAACGATGGGCTGAAGACGGAATTTGATCTCGGATCACGACGCGCGAAGGCTTCGAGGAGAGTTTCGACAATGCCGATGGATTCCCGCGCTCATCACACGCGCGGCATTGAGTGGAATCGCGATCGACGAAACGAGAGAGAGAGAGAGAGAGAGGGGGAGAGAGAAAAAGCTCACCCGAGGACCCAGACGACGGCTCCGACGAGGGACAGGACGACCGCGACCAGCGCGAAGGGGAGGCCCAGCAAGAACCCTAGCGGCCTGCATTCCATCGCTTCGATCTCGCTCTCTCTCTCTCTCTCGCTCGCTCTGTCTGCCACGCCTTCCCTCGTTTTTCCCTTTCGTCCCGCGTGATTTTCCCCGGAAAGTTTCTGCGGGAGCAGGGAAAGAGACGGTGGGAAAAATCGGGCAAACGCAGGTTGGAATCCGCGAACTGGCACGCGGACATCATATAAATAAAACTGCCCGGGACGGCGGGGTCGGTTCGAAATCGCGGCGAAATGACGGAAGAGCCCTCGGACGGTTCCCGGGGCCCCTTGGCCCCGGGAGCGACGGGGGGCTGTTTCGTCATTACGCGGCGTGCTTCGGAACGTTCCGAAACTCCGTTTCGGTTGGCGCCCGGGGGGCGCGGGACCTGCCCCCCGCGCGTGTCCAGATCGGGACTCGGCTTATTTCTGTTCATTTTTTTTGGGTGATTTAAGTGACAATGACATGATGAGTGGGGACTTACCATCGTGCTAAGGGCGTGGCATTACTTTCAAAATAATCATGATGATGATAGGCAATAATTTGGTGTTCGTGATTGCGCTTTCCGATTTTGGGCAATGGGGGTTCAAAAGGGAAAGCGCGCGATTTTACCGAGGAGGTGCCTGTCCGGCTTACTGCGGTGTGCCCGTGCGTGCGGGGGGGACTTAAAACCCCGGCCGTTGCCCGGACTGGCCTAGAAATGCGGGCGTGCTCGCCTGGCTCACGATCCCGGCACTGTTGTCGCCGTGTGTGTGCCAGTGTCTTGGCTTTGTGCCATTGCCGTGTTTGCCAATACGATCCTAGGTGGCCGGTGCTCATCGGCCCTGCTGTTGGCCTTAACAATAAAAAAAGAAAAAGAAAAAGAAAAGTAAATAAATATATTAAAAACCATGGCATTTTGATGACAAATGGAATGCTCGAGGTTTCGGCGTATTGGGCTTCATGCTTCAGATCTTTTTCATTCCATTTGCACCCCTTAGAAAGAAAACGGCGAACCACCGCGTTGTTTTCCTCTCGTGCTCGGCCTATTCAATGGCTGATTGGGTAGATGCATTCGAGATTGGGCTCGCCTCTCACGACCAAGGCAGTTCGTCCGCTTGTGCAGCTGAAGTGGACAGAGCGATTCGGCCATTTTGGGCCTCGTTTCTGTTGTTACGTCTTGGCGGGTCCCGACATCATCACCGCTTCTCTCTGGATGAAAGTCCGCTTTGGCAATGGCACCTGCTCGATCTCATCTTCCAAGTCAGTGCCGCCCTCTATGCCCTCGTGCAAATATTTCCCAACGATAAATCAAGTCACAGGTGATCCCAATGAGGACGGCGTTTCTTGCCGGGGTCATAAAACAATGCAAAGATGACGGCGGCACTTGATCTCTCGATCCTCCCGGAGGCTCTTGTGGCAAGATTCTTATGAACCCTGAAATGTGTATAATTAATTGAAAGTTTTTCTTTCATTCACTTATGATGGTTGAAAAAGCTATAAGATATGATCCATGTTTTACATTCATTTTGAAAGAACCACCGCTTAAATCTCGCGAAGCGAAATTAATATGGTCGTAGCCTGTAAGGGCAATTTTACAATCAACTTCAGATATACACCTTTTGCTTTTAACGTATTAAATATGACTTTTGTTTAATAATAAACACCTAAAGCATGTGAAAAAGTATATAAAAGTAGATATTTAAAATTGTATAAAGTCACGTGAAATTTCTCTAAATTTAAAGCCTAGTTTTCCTTGGAATACATTTTTTTTGGGGGGTAATACTTAGGGCCCGTTTGGCAACGTGCCAAACAGTGAAAATTTCTGTTCTTTTGTTCCCAGAAATAGTTTGGGAACAGAAATGCGTTTAGTAAACTTTTTGTTCCCAGGCACATTTCGCAAAAATTTGTGCCGAGAAACTGATTTTGGAAGAGAAACAAGAAGTAAAAAAAAGTTGCTTCTTGTTTCTGGCATAATTTTGAGAATCAGTTTTTTTTCTTCTTTTTCTTTTTCTTATTTTTGTGTTGTTCTTCCCTGGGCTGGGCCGGCCGCCGCCGGAGGCGAGGGCGACCCTCGCCTCCGCCGGCGCGGCCGGCGAGGGCCGTGACGCCCTCGCGGCCCTAGGGTCGTGGCCGGGTCGCCGGCCGCCGGCCCCCGGTCGCCGGCGACCGGCCATGGCCAAAGAAGAAAATGGTAGAAAGAAAAAAAAAATTTAACAATTCAAAATATTATTAAAATATTATTTGGGAACGGAAATTTTGTGTAGTTACCAAATGCATTTCTGTTCTTTTCTACTCTAGGAATAGAAATTTTGGACAGTTTATCAAACGCCTTCAAATACTCAGAAATTGTTTCCGGGCACAGAATAAAAAAAAATCATTTCTATTCAGAAATAGTTCCCGGGCACAGAATGGTATTCATGCGCACCCTTAGAATACAAACGTTTTAATTCCACAAGTGCCCTCCAAATTATGCATGACACTTGTTTAAGGAGAAAATTACCCAACCTGTCCTGTACCTATCGTATCGATATCAATTTAGTTCTAAACTTTTCAATCTGTTAATTTAGTTATAAACCTTTGTACACAATTTCAATATAATCACTTTAGTCAATTTTCATCGGAAATCACTGACGTTGGCACACCGCCGTGTCCGAGTTAAAACTCTAGGTTTGATTAGATAATTTTCCCCTCATTTAGCATAATTTGTGTGAATTAAACTTCATAAATATGGTGCACCAAATTAAAAGTCCTTTCTAGATATGTGAGTCGGATCACACGTATCACTTGGGTAAGCACCAAACAAAAATTATTGTCATGTTGTGGGACCCATTCGATTGCATAAAAGATTTCAAGGAGTCCTTGTCACGATGGGACCACTAAATAAAGATATTTGTCCTTTTCTTATCTCAACTTATTATTATTATTATTTTCCCTTTCTGAAAGAAACAAACATAAGTCTCGATCGCACGTTCGCAAAAACGCCGGCCGTTTTTATGTTGCCTTCTGATATTACGTGGCTGGAATTTAAAGCTCACTTCCCCAATGGAGACGATCTCTTCGCCTAAAAATCTCTCAAGTCGGTTGAAGAGCTCCTCTCGAATCTTCTGTCCGCATTCACGCTAATTGCTAACCGAGAACGCATACGCATCATTGGATAGACGAATCTTACATACATATAGGATCATCACTTCCGTAAGTAAGCGATATAACCTTAACGGTGTGCAAAAGGAATCGAAATTACCCGGACCAGACTGGCCCGGCCTGGAACTGGCGATTTTTCATGATGACCAGTCTGGTTTCCGGTGGAACCGGTGAGTACCGGTCCGGTTCCCGATTTCAGGTCCTAGGTGTGGAATCGTTCACTAGGACCAGGCCGGCGTGTGTGTACGTGAGCATTTATCATAAAATCACAATATCATTTCGTATTTGATAAGTAAGACTCTCATGCAAATTTCTTTATTATTCTTACCTTTTTCCTTGCAAAGAGGTTCGGTTCTCAGGTGAATCCATGAAACCAATGAGCCGTTCCCATTTCAATTTTTTGGAACCGATCCTTAGCGAGCGATTCCCGATTTCAGGGTGGAAATCGCCTACTCGGATCATGCTCAACCCTATATAACATGCTTTTTAGCATATGTTCAGCTAACATTCCTAAGTAGCATGTACTTTTTCTGGTCATTTCTAAGATGAGAGACGCTGGCAAACAAATGGTAGTGGATAAGCAATGATAAAGTTTTATGGTCCGAATCACGGAATTGTGCTTTAATCGAAAAACCCATTTAATTTCCACAAGACATTTATAGAAAAGAGAGAACATAGCAATTCCGAGATATCAATGTCAATAGGGAAAATTATCTAAACTATCGTAAATTTATTGTACGGCGACCAATTCAATCTTAAATATTTTAACTGTGCCGATTTAGTCATAAATATTTAGACGATTTGTCGATTTTGATCTTAAACCTTTCAATTATGACAATTTAGTCCTAAATCTTTTAACGATTTACCAATTTAGTTTTTCCGATCAATTTTGGTTGGAAATCACTATCGTGACCGTCTAATCAGCGCCGACCGTCCAAACTTTAGTCCTTCCCAATGTTAATGCCTGAGGATATCTCTTTAGGAAACGAGGCAATGAGATCGGCAATCATGTAACTAGGTTTTCATGCCGACTTTTGTTTTTTGAGAAAAGAATCAGTTTGAAATCTTTAAGTTAGATTTAAATCTCAATACATAGCATAATAATTAAGAACGCATAAGCCGAAATTATTGACTTTTCCCCTGAATTTTCCGTTGGCCATCGCTTTTGCATGATAACTAATCATTGCACTTCATATGGTCTTTGTGAATATCCAATACAAGCATTCACGGTAAGGATTTGTCTCCAGTAGAGAATAGACGGATTGCGTTGTCGCATCTCGATCATTTCCTCGTTTAGTCGGAAAGTCTTACCAAAAATTTTAAATTTATTACAATTGTATCAATTCAGTTCTAAATATAATTTTTTTTATCAATTAAGTCCTAAATATTACATTTGTGTCAATTCAGTCTATTCAATTAATTTTAACTGGAAATCGTCGACCTGGACGTTGATCGTCCTATTTGGCGCGGCCGGCGTTGAAGTTGATATTTTTAAATAATATTTTAATAATTTTTCGATTTATTTATTTATCTTATCTTTTTTTTTTCTTCCTTTCTTCTTCTAGTCGGTTGCCGAGGTTCAGTGACTGGCCAGAGGCAGGCGAGGTCACCCTCACCCTCGCCAGATCCATCCGCTTGAGATCTAAGCTCGATTGTGGTTGCCAGAGCTCTGAGGTGTTGGCCATGGACACTCTAGCTTCTCACTCGCGACCATGGCTGCCAGAGCTTCGAGCTCCAAGCCATGGTCGCTTGAGCTTTGAGCTCACGGACATGGTTGCTCCCTCCCTCCTCATTCGCGGTTCTCTAGCTCATCTCACACGCTACCAAAAATCAACCGAATCGACTGAGCCAAACCTCAACACCACAGCCATGGAAGTGCCCTGCCTCAAGCAACCACAGATCTATGGCTGGCGAGGGCAAGCCTTGACGAGGCTCCCCCTCGCTAGCTCTCACCTCTGGCTGGTCACTGGTCCTCGGGGACCAGTTAGAGGAAAAAGGGAAGAAAAAAAAAAGAAAGAGAAAGAAAAAAAAAGGAAAAAGAAAAGAAAAGAATAAATAATAAATAAAAGATTTGGAAAGTTATTAAAATATTATTTAAAAATGTCCATGTTAGTGCTGGTCGCGCCACATAGGATGGCTGGCTCTATGTCAGAGATTTCCAGCCAAAATTGACCGGATGGATTGTATCGGCACAAATGTAAAAGGTTAGGACTCAATTGGCAAAAAAAAAAATTATGACTGAATTAACACAATTGTAATTGATTAGGATTTTTCGAGTAAGTTTCCCCATTTAAATGTGTAGGGTTCGCATGCGATAGTCTTTCCATAGCCGTAAAACATAAGATCATGTCATCTATACGTCCGCACGCTTGACTTTCTCCATCTTGTAGATGAAACGGCTCTTAAGGGCACGAATGATGATCATTCTATTTTTTTATTTTTCTATTTTTCTATTTCCGGGAACATGTTAGGAATAGAATTCCACTTGGCAACGCAATTTCGTTTTTTTATTTCTGGGATAAATTTTTAGCTCATAAATAAGTTTGAAATATAAATGAGAAATAGATTTTTTTTACTTTCCTTTTTCTGTTCCAGAAATAGAATTAATAACTCCTTTGTTGCCCGCCACCGCCCCCCACTGCTACTCGCCTGCCGGCTGTTCGCTGTCCCCTGCAGCCTCTCGCCGGCTGCTGGGAATAGAAATTTGAGAATAACTTATCACACAAATTTTATGCCGTTATCAAATGTTACTTTTTGTTCAGAAACTCGTCCTTAGAATAGAAATATAATTTTCTATTTCTAACCAAAAATACTGCTGTGGAAGAGAATAATTATCATTCGTGCCCTAATTCTCCGAATACAATTGATCGAAAGTGTGTTCACATGCTACCGGAGCGGGAAAAAGAAGAGAAAAAAACCCGAAAAGACCGACGCACATGTCTAAACATGATGGAAACCCTAGTTTTTGATGAGAAGATCATAATCAGCTAACATCCTCGGTCGACTCCATCCGATCATCACAGGACCAGCACAAACTGCTGATATCTGTCAAATTGAGCAAAGTAAGGGTCAATTGAGCTTCAGCCATCTCAAGAACCCCATCCCTTTCAATCCCTTACCATCAGTGTTCCTACAGATATGCACACATCCCACCGGTAATCCAATGCCAACCCCCTCTCTTTTCTCCACCCGTCATTCAATACCGCCCCCCTCTTTCCATACTAAGAAAATTTAATTAAACTTCACGAGTTCCTTTCATCGATCCTTCTCGCACCCTTTTAAAAGAAATCAGGAAAAAGGGGATCCACAGACCCAGAAAAGGCATACAAAAGCACAAAAGAGAGTACAGCAAGAACCTAGATAGCGACAAGAAAACATAAGATACAAATCTCGGAGTTGTGGTGGAGAGAGCTTTGGAGATTATATCCCACTCACGACACTCCCAAAAGCCAACAAGAGACAGCACCGCCCACGTTGACACTGATCTCTGTCTCTCCGGGTCCTCCATTTGATGCCATTTGTATCGGAACACACTCACTGCCTGCACAGACACTCGACCGTGTAGTTAGGAATTTCACTGCTGCGTTGTGTGCACTTGTATGCTCCATGCACGCTTGAAGAAGACACGGTTCTTTTCTTTAGCCAGAGTGGTGGTTTTCTTTTTGCCTGGTTTCGGGAATGCTTGGCGTGTCTTCTTCGAGGGAGGAGAGTGGCGATGAGGCCCGCCGAGGAGAGAGCTGCTTCTCCATCGGCGGCGGCAGCGGCGACGACGCGATGTTCCTCGACTTCTCTGATGCGAGCGACTTGCTCGACAGCATCGACTTCGACGACATCTTCGCCGGGGACGAAGACGCCTTGCCGGATTTGGAGATGGACGGGGCCGAGGTCCCCGCCGAATTCTCCGCATGTTTCGAGGATAGGACCGAGGTGAATCCGAGCATGACCCCGGATGGTGGTTCGAAGGAATTATCGGAGGCGGAAGAGAGGTCGGCGGGGGCCGGGGCCGAGGAGAGCTCGAGTGGCGAGGAGGGGAGTGAGAAGAAGAGAGAAGGGTGGAGTGGTGGGAAGAGGAAACGGGAAGGGGATAGAGGGAGAAGAAGTTCTGCTGCTGCTGCTGCTGCTCAAGGTAAAACTAATCCCCAAGCTCAAGGGAAGAGAAAATTCAAGGTAAAAGAACAAAACGCAATGCATCTTACTCGATGTAAAGTAATCGTCACTCGTCATCTAAACTTACTTGACATATGCCGGAGTTTCGGACGACAATTAGCGAGTCGAGGCCGCGGTTCCTCGGTTCTCCGGCTTCCGATTTCGCGCTAATTAAGGCCGTTTGTGCTTCTCTAATTGTGTCTTTAGGTGATGACAATCTCTAAATTTGGCTTGTTCATAGAATATAATGTTGTGCAATTGTGTAGGTGGATTGGACACCAGATCTGCATAGGAGGTTCGTGCAGGCAGTGGAACAATTAGGGGTGGACAAGGCAGTTCCTTCCAGGATTTTGGAGCTCATGGGCATCGATTCTCTCACTCGCCACAACATTGCAAGCCACCTTCAAGTACAAAATTGAATCGCCCCTTAACCTTCAATTGATCTTCTATTCTCTTTTGTGTTTTTGGCGCGTTTTCATCAATGCTAGGATTTGGCAAAAGGGCTTCCATAATTTTAGTGGAATGTTGGTTGGATTAATTAAGGTGTCGAGTTAATTTTAGATCGATCAATCGATCGAGTTGGCTGAGGCTAACTTTATTTTGTTGGACGAGGAGGAGACGGTTTGAGTATTGATGTTGAGGTGCGAAATGTGGCAGAAGTACCGGTCGCAGAGGAGGCACTTGCTATCTCTCGAAGCGGACGCGGCAAGCTGGAGCAAGAGGCGCCAGATCTACGGCGGGGCTGCCGCGGCTGCCGGAGGAAGCAAGAGGGTCATGACGCCCTGGGCGGCACCCGCCATGGGGTTTCCTCCCGTGGCGCCCTCCCCGCACCATTTCAGGCCTCTCCACGTGTGGGGTCACCCGACCGCAAGCCCGCCCCTGAAGCATGGTGCATGGCCGAAGCATCCGTTTCATCCACAGCCGCCACACGTTCCTCCTCCACTGCCGACATGGGCGCTGCCGCCTCCGCTGTATCATCCTCCTCCACCGCCGCCTCCGGACCCTTCCTATTGGCACCACCAAGTAAGCATAGGACACTCACTCGAGTTCCATGTTATATCTTAAGCAGTGACTTGCTAGAAAAATAACGTAGGACTTGAACTTGCTGGTTTGTTTATGGCCCTATATTGGTGTTACGAATTATAGATATACTAGTTGAAATTCGGTGCCTTGCACGGGTATGAAAATTAAATTTATTATAGTTTAGTTGCATAGTACAATTTTAAAAAAATTATATAAGAATTTACATTTATGACATTTCACAGGGGGAAATATAATTATTAATCGAGTCAAATAATAAAAAAATTTAAGTATTGCATCAGCTTCAAATACATTATTTTTTATTCCTTTTACATACTCTTGTAATTTGAGATATTCTTTTGTAAAATACATAAATGTAAGTATTGCAACATCGCGATTATTTATTTTATTGAGTGTTGGGTACTAATTAGATTTGGTATTTATTTTGATGTCATAATATTTTATATGCGGCTGCCGTGAGAGTACGATAATTAACATACTGATTAGATGAAGGGGGACTTTTGTTTATGAATTTTTCTCTAGAGTATTTGATATATTGGCAATAAGAGTATAACTTACATGATTTCCAATATTTCCATTATTTGTAATTTTAAATAGCCATCACATAATTAATTATTAATTAATGAGCTCTTCCGATTTCTCATGAATCAATCATGTGTCCACATATATGTAGGTGAAAAAAAGAACTCTTGAGTAAATAATCAAGGGGATATTTTTTTTTTTTGGTTTTTTTATCTTATTAGGAAATTAACTAATTACATTTATTTTTTATGGCGATTCAATTTGTTAAATAAAACGTTTGAGTAATTAACAAAATATTTATGAGCGCTTTACATTTCGCATGGATCAATTGATCGCGTCGTTAATATAAATGTTCGACGAGAATGCACGGGATTTTGACGCGTGGCACATCTGATGTTTATTCTACCTAGCAATCTAATTATATATATAGATTTTCTATGGTTATGTGCGAAATATTGATAATTATACGTGGTTCGATGCTGTGAAGGGATTTGGTTTTGCACCGGTTCCGGGCATACCGCATCATCAAGGCGTGTACAAAGTAGACCCTAGCATCGGTTTCTCGACACCGGCGGGGCAATTGGCCTCCTCTCAACCTTCGTTCGATTTTCACCAGGTAATTAGCCTGTGGCGATCTCGTTCGATCATGTAAACCGAGATGATTGTGCGAGTTCGGACCGACTTTATTTCATCGTTCCGTTTTGTTATTGCTGTGCTTAACAGTGGAGCGAGAGCGTCGATGCGGCGATCGAAGAGGTCCTATTGAAGCCATGGCAGCGACTTCCTCTCGGCTTAAAGCCTCCGTCTCTGGACGGTGTTTTGGGGGAGCTTCAACGGCAAGGCATTCCCAGCATTCCTCCCACTTCCTCCACTTAGATTGACCTCCCGCCGGCGACGGCGGCGGCAGATAAGCTATCTGAGGCCATCGAGAGGAGAAAAAAAAAATCCCGAATTCGACGACATTTCCGGCACGATAGATGTGTACATAAACTCGTGGATGAGTATGTCCCTTATTGCTGTTGGCTTTCTAATGTGTCTCAATGAAATAACATTTTTTTTTTCTGGGTGCCTTCCCTTGAGAAGATGACCAATTTTTTTTTGTGTCGAAAGAAGATGATCGGATTTGAGGGTATGAAAGGGGTGACTTAGAGAAAATTCAAACCACAAATTATTGGATTTCGAGGGTTTTGAATTGGCAGAAAATGTGCACATCGGCGATTTTCAATCCGATCATCTAACATACATATTGAAAATGTAAACGATTTTCAATTTGATCATTTGAACAAAAAAAATGTAGTGAGGACAACATCGAACGTTTTTATATAGTTAAACAACTAAATTGAACATTTGCCAAAAGTTCAGGGACTACATCGAACCAATTAAAAGTTCATGAATCACATTACACATTGGGTTAAAAAAATTCCGAAATCACATTGAACAAATTAAAAGCTTAAAGACCTGGGACCCCAAATCGAGCAAATCTGGGAACAAAGCCGACGATTTTTCATGGACTTGGAATCCACCGCTGGATGGAACTTATAAGATAAACATAGACGGAGCGTACGAACCCGGAGCTTTGGAAGTTTCGGTCGCCTGCGTTTGCCGTGATTTCGACCGGAGGTTGCTGGACGGAGCAGCTTGTACGGTGGCGACGCCGTCTACGCTGCTGATGACTGAGTCCCTCGCTCTGTTAGAAGCCCTAACTCACTTCTTTCCCAAAAGACACGAAGTCCTTGTACTTGAGTCTGGTAGTTTGGACTTAGTCAATGTCTTAGAGAGTCCAGATCAACTCAGTTGGGAAGCTCATGCGCTTATCTTGAAATGCAAAGATCTGTTGTTATCCTTCTCTAGTATTCGGGTTATTTCATTGTTTTAGAGATGCTAACTTTGTAGCGGACTGGGTTGCCAAAGCAAGCTCACAAGAGAAATTACCTACCTCTAAATCGGGTCGTGTCCCCTACCCAAGCACTTTGGGAGCTCTTATGTACTGAAGCCCATCCATCGGGCCCGACTATCCTTTCTTAATGAATGATATATTTTCATTTTCTGAACAAAAAAAAAAGAAATTTAGAGACCATATTGCACGTTAGGCCAAAGTTAATGAATTGCTTTTGTCAATCTCCCTTACTTTAATGATGACCGAGTAAAAAATGAGTTTTGGGCCGGATCGGCGAACACTGTCTCGAAGCCCAATTTCGTCTCAAGCCCGAGCATGACCAGGGTAAATGGGCCGGGCCCGTTTCTATATAAGCCCATCTTCAACCTCGCCGAGCATTTAGGCTTGTGTCCAGAGTGCGAACCGAGACGGACTCTTGCCGAGAGCTTTTGCTTGTTCAGGAGGAAATCTCTCTACCTTCGCTTCAGATTCTCCTCCTCCTCCGCCGTCTCCCAAGGCGGCCACGATCTCCTTCCTCCGACCGCCCTCCGAATCGACCTAGGCCTCCTTCGCAATCGCGCCGGGCGGTAGCTGCTCCGATCTAGCTCGTCTTCGACATGGCGCCCGAGAAGAACGGCTCCGGCGCCGGCGCCGGCGCCGGCACCTCTCGCGAGGAGGCTCCCGCCAAGGCCCCCGGGAAGGACCCCAAGAAGAAGGAAGAGAAGAAGGACGAGGACTTGGTGAGTGCGGCGCTTTTCTTTTGGCGCTTCAGCTTGTTTTCCTTCTTCGTTGTGTTCGATTTTGCGAGTGTCGTTGGATGCGGGATGTTGTGGCTGGGTAAGTGCCCTCTTGTGTTGCTGTTGAAGTTGGTGATTTTGATGAATTGAGAGCTGGAGTGCGGATTCGGAGTGGGGAGTCGACGGGTGCGGTCCTTGTGGTTTGGACTTTGGGCGTGTCGTGGCAATGGTACCGGTTAGTTGCTGAGGTGATTGTGGAGGAGCTGGAGTGCGTTAATGAATTCCTGTTCGTTAAGTTTCTTTGTTCGGGAGAGATATGTTTTTGCTTTCTTGCTTGGAAGGACAAATTATCTGGTAGGGAAGATTTGTTGTTGCTTGCTGTAAGTTCTCAATGTCTTGACCTAGTTTAACTGTCGAGGATATTGAACTAAGACTGTGCTGAGACTGAAACTCGATCGTCGAGTGGTTTCCTTACCTCCCTTCCATTGTTTTATGCTGCCGGTGAGTTCTGTATATACTCTCTTGGGCAGGCTGGTTGATTGGTTGGTTGTGAATGTATGTGCAGTCGGAAGAAGATTTGGCACTGAAGCAGCAGTTGGAGCTGTATGTGGAAAGGGTTCAGGATCCTGATCCTGGGTTGCAGAAGGTTGCTCTAGAGAGCATGAGGTACTTCTGGTCTTGGAGATTTTTTTTGCTTCCATTTCTTCTCCTGCTCATCATTAAATTATGGGAAACGAAGAAATCTACATTTAGCTTGTCCTTTGTTGGTTATGCCATCTGCTTGGGTGGGGGGGACTCGTGTTCTGATTGTTGCAGGTCTGGTATGAGTATGATATGGAAATTTGGCATTCAGCTAGAAGAACAGTCAGATAGGCAGTTCTAGGAAACTTTGTCAGTATAAACCAACTATGTAACTATAGGGAGAAGACTAGAGAATGGGCATATGGCTTTTTTGGGGAGAATTTGGTCTTTTTTTTTTTAGACTAAAGAATTCTTTAACTCATGCATTTGTATTGTGAGTTTAGATGTTAGAAACTATTCGAGCATCGTGTGGATCGGATCAGAGAGGGACTCGCCATTTTCGCCGCTAGAAATGAGACAGTCCTTAATAGACACTGGTTTTGGTGGGAACCGAATAATGAAAAGATGTCTCACGAAAAGAGGGGCTGTACACGTTTATCTTTCCAATGTGGTTTGACGACACCTATAATTGTCTTTGTAGACAAGAAATTCGTACTTCAACAAGTTCAATGACTTCAGTTCCAAAGCCCCTGAAGTTTCTCCGACCCCATTATGGAACTCTTAAGGCGTATTTTGAAACAATGAAGGATTCAGATTTGAAGGTGAAGTATAAATTGACATGGCATTGTTTGCTAGGATGCTTTATCTAAATTGCAGTCAATGATCTGGTTTACATTGATGCAGAGATACCTAGCGGACATACTCTCTGTTTTGGCCTTGACAATGTCTGCTGAAGGGGAACGGGTAATTCGTTCTGTGACTCAAAATCATATTTTGCTGGGCATCATTTCCATGACTTACTTGTTGGATTACAGCTTACTGAAACTCTGACCTTCTATATTTTCGTTGCCATTGTTCTTAACAAACAGTTGTTCGTAAATAGTCAGTATGAGTATCTTTGAAATCATGCCTCCTGATGTATGATCATTTCACTAAATAGCCTGCATTTATTTTAGGTGTAGACGTTTTCCGTGACCTTGCCAAGTTCACTTCTCCAACTCCCTCGTAGATTTGATATTGATTTCTTTCTTTTGTAAATGGTGTACTTGTTTCCAGGAGAGTCTGAAGTACAGGTTGTTAGGTTCAGAAGGTGATATTGGCTCTTGGGGCCATGAATATGTCAGGTAATCAATCTTGATGTTGGGTGTGATATATCTGATGTTTTATTGGTTCATTTTTCCCTCTCCTTTTAATACGAGGTTAAAGACTGTAACTTTTGCTATAGATTCATGGATAATTATAGTGAATTGATGTTGTTGAACGTCATCGAGAATCTATAATATTGCTCGTGTTGTGTATAATCTCATTAGTTCCCACTTGTCAGATGATACTGATATTGGGATAATTTTTAAGCTGATAGGGATGTGATGGTGGTTGAGAATAAAAAATTTAGCTAAATTTTCCGTATATCTAGACAAAGACATGGTCCATAATGGTTGCGGGTGAATGAATATATTTGGTTGTCAATATTGATTTGATGTTTTATGTACGCCAGTGGTCAGTGTCCCACCTTTAAAGTTGTTGTTAACTAGGGTATAATGGTAAAGCTCTGCTGTGTTTGTAAAGAGGAACACGTATTTACTGCTCTGAAGAGTTCTCAATTAACATGATCTTTCTGCAATGGCCTCTTCTAGATGCTTAGTTCTGTTGATTCTTCTTGAGTCTGGTACAGCGCTATGTTCCATTAGTATGAGGATTTTGCTGCTGTGCATCAGCCCACTATTTAAGTGGCTGTGAATTGAACTGTGGACCAAAAATGAAATCAAAGTTTTATTTCACTTGTTGGTCCTTTACCCCAACTTGTCACAAACCTTGGAGGAAATGTTTCTCTTGAACCCATAGGATGGAGAATAGCAGCATCTTGGTTTGTTAGACTATTTATACATCCATAGCCATTGCTTATCTATTGAACTATGTTATATGTAATTATACTTGATTACACGGGGAAGGATACGGTGTTGTTGCTGTCTCTTTGTTCTCTCAATTGTGAAATCCTGGCGGAAGGGATTATTTTGAATGTTGTTCATTTTCCAATACTTGGTGCATGATCTCCATCTCGAGGAATTCTTGTTGTTTTGTGCTTTATCTAGAAGTTACGTTACACTTTGTCTTACCTTAAAATTAACATCTGACATCAGGAATTTAGCTGGGGAAATTGCTCAAGAATATACAAAACGACAGGTAATGTTGTTAAGTTCATCACTGTTTTCTTCACATTATGTAAGACAGGTTCTTAAACTCTTTGTTGAAGTGCTCTTCCGGTGCCTGCTTATATTAACATTAATTTACATTCTAGTGCTACGTGATATGTAACATCTGGCTTTCACTAGTTATTGTACTCTGGCTTAGTTCTACAGCTGTAATTCCATCAGTGATCCCTATTGACAACACCACCTGTATATAAGATAACTTGTTCTTGATATTGGCGACTGCGGATATTCTATGCTAGTGTTTTGACCAATTTATATGTTTGACATCGCTTGCTAAAAACCTTGGCAGAGTGAGGAGGCTCCTATAAACGATCTTATGGAGCTTGTACAACAAATTGTAGCTTTCCATATGAAGGTATGTATCATTGTCTAATTTTCATGTTGGTAGGAAATGGATTAGGATCATTGTATGCAGAAGACAATTCTCTAGAAATTTATTAACAGATAGATTTGTCACTTTTGATGACGCGTTAGTAAACCATTTTATTTTGTTGCAGCACAATGCTGAACCTGAAGCTGTTGACCTGTTAATGGAGGTAAAGTAAATTATTCGTACCAACCTTTTATTTTCTAGCGAGGCTGTTTTGAAGTGGATCTAAGAGTATTAAAATGACTTCCAGGTTGAAGACCTTGATATGTTAATGAAGCATGTTGACAGCGCTAACTTCAAGAGAACTTGTCTATACCTCACAAGTGCTGCAAGGTACATGAAATATTTGTCATCAAAACACTGCATAACAGTCAGGGTGTTCACTATGGATTGCTCAGAAAATGGTCGAGGAGCTTATTAGTTGAGGACTAACTAATGAGTGTGCCTTTTCTCCCTATCAATTCTCTCTTTTGTATCAATTGCAGATACCTTCCTGGACCTGATGACATGTTAGTTCTGGATATTGCATACTTGATCTATCTCAAGTTTAAAGAATACGCCAATGCCCTTCAGATCGCACTGTTCCTAGATAATATGCAGGTATATTTGGTTGAATATAAATAAGCATCTTTTCCTTTCAAGTTGTGTACAGGAATTTCTTATGAGGAGCTCCGCACTGCCACATATTGGATCTCTCTCTCTCTCTCTCTCTCTCTCTCTCTCTCTCTCTCTCTCTGTGGGAATCTAATCTAACACTTGAAAGTACACATGCAGTATGTGAAGCAGGTCTTCACGTCTTGCAGCGATCTTCTACGGAAGAGACAATTCTGCTATATCCTTGCTCGACATGTGAGTTGTTTCTCTGCTATAATCGAAATGCCTCTTTAATCCTTGTTTCAGATACGGTTGGTGTACATGGCAAGATTGCCTGGGGTGAATGTGATAGTGATTTGCTATTCTTTTGTGCAGGGTATTACCTTTGAGCTTGATGAAGAGATGGTTCCTGATGACGATGAAAGAGAGGCATTGCAGGAAATTGTCAACAATACTAAATTAAGTGAAGGTTATCTTACTCTTGCCCGCGATATTGAGGTTATGGAGCCCAAATCTCCTGAAGACATTTACAAGGTTTGAACAGTTGATAATTGTTCATGCTTTCGATGACTTGATCTGATCTTGGTTACCCACTCATTTAACTTATTTTATCATCAATACTCGAACCAAGCTCTTGGATGCATCATGTTGTACGGCGCTGCACATGTAATGGGAGCTGTGTGATTGGTTTAAACAGAATTGTCTTATTTGTTGCTATCTTCCTCTCAAAGAGATGTCCTTAGTATTGACTACTTGCTGCAAGCTTCTTTGTTTTAGTGTGATACTTTCTGGATGCATCATGTGTCACCCTTTTGTTTCTGGAAATCCATATTCATTCCGATTATAGCATTTTAACTTTGGACTATGGATGTATATGATGTACACGCATGTATAGATGGCACCATAATATTTACTTCTTGTCCTTTAGATCATCTTCCAGTATGAAATAATTGACTGAAGGCTTAGCAAGGATTAAAGGTTGCTAAAGAGTATGACTGATGTATCTTCTGTCTAACGCATTATATATTCCAGTTAATCGTGATTTCTAAACTTAGGTGCAGCAACATGGTCGCTGACATGAATAGAGTGAATATGGAGGGTGATTTTTGCATGTAATTGATATCCTTGAAAATTAGCATTCTTATATAGTAGTATGTTGCTCTCTCGAAATATTATGATATACATAACTCGAATATGACTTTTAACTTGTTGGCCTTGTGCTAATGAAAAATTGAATTGTCTCAGGCACATTTGCTCGATGGTCGGGCTAGTGCTAGCGCGAGTGTGGATTCTGCGAGGCAAAACCTGGCTGCCACTTTTGTTAATGCATTTGTAAATGCTGGCTTCGGACAGGTAATCAAAGAAAAGACGTTGCCTTTGCAGGATTTCTGTTTTTCAAACTCCTTTGTTACCTCTGCAGGATAAGTTAATGACAGCGCAATTAGACTCATCTAGTAGTGGCTCTTCAGCAAATTGGCTTTTCAAAAATAAAGAGCATGGAAAGACCAGTGCTGCTGCAAGTCTGGTGCGTGTACCTTGCTACTTCAGGATACTTGTTGCCAGAAATTTCTTTAGTATCAGATTGTCATGATTTTCTCTGCGGCAGGGAATGATTTTGCTGTGGGATGTTGACTCTGGACTGTCCCAACTCGATAAGTACTTCCATAGTAATGACAATCATGTTATAGCTGGTGCTCTGTTGGGTGTTGGGATAGTGAACTGCAATATCAAGAATGAATGCGATCCTGTGAGTTGCCTTTATTGTCTGTTGTGCCGACAAAATTGCTTATATGTTAAATCTTATTCTTTTCTTTGGAATATATCAGGCTCTGGCACTTCTTGGTGATTACATTGATAAAGAGGATGCATCTATAAGAATTGGCGGAATTATGGGCCTTGGACTTGCTTATGCCGGCTCTCAGAATGAGCAGGTATGTACACATTTGGTAGAAATGACTCTTTTTCCATGAACATGTATACTTATGCTAATGCACTTATTTTTCTTTTGATTACCATCAAATCCTTTCTATTGTTTTTCCAAGTCATCTCACGCGCAACAGCATTATTTATTATTCTTAAATTTTGTATATGGTTGCTGCCGCTATAAATATTCTTATTGACAAGCATTAGTTTGGTCTTTATCAACTTCATTTTCAGATCCGTGCTAAATTGTCCCCAATACTTAATGACGCTAAAGCACCCCTTGACGTGCTTGCATTTACTGCAATCTCTCTCGGCTTGATATATGTGGGCTCCTGCAATGAAGAGGTAGCCCAGTCAATTATCTTTACTCTGATGGACCGCAGTGAGTCAGAGCTGGGAGAGCCTCTTGCTCGTCTTTTACCTCTCGGCCTTGGTCTTCTTTATCTTGGAAAGCAGGTATATTGATGGAGCCTGTTCATTTCATATTGCTACCATCCGAGCATCTGGGTACTACCTTATTGTTTAATGGATACCGACGCAGATATATTTTTTTATTAGTGCTCAGTTTCCTTGTATATTCTTCGTATTTTATAGGAAAATGTGGAGGTCACTGCAGAAGTTGCAAAGACTTTCAATGAGAAGATCAGAAAACACTGTGACATGACCCTCCTTTCCTGTGCATATGCTGGAACAGGAAATGTTCTCAAGGTACTCTATGTCTACTATAGTTAATAACCATTGGAACGACTGTCAGACATAATTTGCTGATCTTTTCTGGTGCAGGTGCAAAACTTACTAGGTCATTGCGCACAACATCTTGAGAAGGGGGAAACTCATCAGGCACCTGCTGTCCTTGGAATTGCCATGGTCGCAATGGCTGAAGAACTAGGTCTTGAAATGGCAATTCGTTCTTTGGAGCATCTTTTACAGTATGGAGAACAAAACATCCGCCGGGCAGTTCCATTGGCTCTTGGCCTTCTATGCATCGCAAATCCAAAGGTAGTTGACCTTCATGAATATTTTCTGAAAAGATCTCAACATGAAGCATATGGTACTACCTGAAGTTGGGTTTTGATAGGACTAAGTTGTTGAATGAGGCTTGATTAAGTTTAAGATACCATGATCTCAGAGTATGGATATCAAAGCATAATCTGATCTAATTGGAAACTATATCCCTAGATATGCCATTAATATAGACAGACCATTCCAGCCTGTTTTCTGGGAGGGAATTGATCCTTATTACAGGGATGTCGACTTTTTTATCCTGCAAAACTCAGAATGCTTATAGCTTTTACTTGCTTTATACTGCGCAGGTTAATGTAATGGATACCCTAAGTAGGCTTAGCCATGACACAGATTCTGAAGTTGCAATGGTGAGATGAAACAGCTAAGCTTTGTGTCCATTTTGTCATATGAATTGGAATATTGAGGCTGAAATATCTGGTGTTTCTACAGGCTGCTGTCATTTCATTGGGCTTGATTGGTTCTGGAACCAACAATGCTCGAATAGCCGGGATGCTTCGTAATCTTTCAAGCTATTACTACAAGGATGCGAGCCTTCTATTCTGTGTAATGCTCAATATAACTGTTCTCTTGTTTGCAGATTATCCTTACTAGATAAGGTTCTTATCTGATGTGGTTTGGCCCCTTCTACAGGTGCGGATTGCCCAAGGTCTTGTGCACTTGGGGAAGGGATTGTTGACTCTTAATCCATATCATTCAGAAAGATTTTTGCTCTCTCCGTGAGTTTTCTTTGCATGATAGATCTGGAATAATCCTAGATAAAGAACAAGTACTTGTGATTAAACTGAAAGGAATTGATGGTATACTTTTGAGTTTCGTTTTATAACATTAATATCGCTTTTATTCTAATGTGCACTTGTTGTCTGTAGGACGGCACTCGCAGGAATAATAACAATGCTTCATGCGTGCCTTGACATGAAAGCCATCATCTTGGGGAAATATCATTATGTTCTTTACTTCCTTGTTCTGGCCATGCAGGTTAATCTTCAGCTAGAAGTCTTGAATTTGGTTTCTGTGCTAATTTCGTTTCCTTTAGTAAATTGCTTATTTTTCCTTCATGGCATGGCAGCCGAGGATGCTCTTGACGGTGGATGAAAATCTGAAACCATTATCTGTGCCAGTACGGGTTGGTCAAGCTGTTGATGTTGTCGGGCAGGCAGGTCGTCCCAAGACCATCACTGGCTTCCAGACACATTCAACCCCAGTCCTTCTGGCGGCTGGCGATCGGGCAGAGTTGGCTACTGAAAAGTACTACAATTCTCTCTGTAGTGGAAATTTGTTTTTCAAATTGGCCATGTGCGGTGCCCTTAAACTGCAACTGTTTCTTGCAGGTATATTCCGCTCTCTCCTATTCTTGAGGGTTTTGTCATCTTGAAGGAGAATCCAGATTACAGGGAAGATAACTAGTTGGCCTCTTGCTGGGCAAAATCCTTCTTCCTTATGGCCCGAAATCAAGTAACTCATTTGCGTACCTGATTGGGTTGAACTCTTTTGCCGGTGTCCTCAAGTATCTTTTCTTTCCAAAGAAGACAGGTGAATCAGTGAGTTTTTCAACCAAAAAAAAAAAATAAAAAAAATCAGTGAGTTGGACGTGGACGCAGAGAATACAGGCCTCTTGATTGCGCCCTGCGAAAAAGTGACCTTGTTTGTCGCGGGAAGATGCTTCCTCATGTAGTGCTTTAGATTATCTCAACAGTACAGATAGAAGCAATCTTTCTTTTTATGGCTTCGAGTTATTCCTGTAATTGATTCGATGCTCCAATAGCAATGCTTTCATGTGATTTTTGCATTCATGTGTCCAATTATCTATGGATGGATGTTCGGGGACCGCCTTTTTACGCAATGGGAATGTGCTATGAAGGTACGGTCTCAGGTGAGTATCGTGAGAATTTATCCAAAATCAACAGCGAAATGGAGTGGATTTAGTCACAAAGGATGGGCGTGGGAATGGGAATGTTTTGCCTCTAAAAATTTGCATTGAGACAGGCACTTGAGTCAAAAAGCTTTTATTGAAAACAATGGGGTTTGGCTGTGAAATATTTGTTGCGAAGCAACATTTTAAAATATGAAAAAAAATTTAAAAGAAAGAGAAGTGTAGGTGCACTCTCAGGCGACCCCTAGGCTCGGGGCAGCGTGACCTTGGGCAAAGGCTCGCGTATAGTCGGCGTGACCCCATCGAGCCACTCGCCCGAGGTGCTGGTGACCCTTCCGAAGCTTTGCTTGGGTTCGTGCAACCTTGGCTTAGGGGCGCTGGGGTCGGGCAACCCCGATGGGTCTCAATGGAGCGTGGCCATGGTAGGGCCTTTCCTCTACGGACTTCTCCGCAAGTCGAAGATAAAGGCGAGGGTCATACGGGGATAATCGAATTTTTCTTTGGGTAAAATGGAGATAAATTTTTTTTTATTGATCCAATGGAAGTTGATTTCCTTAAAAGAAGTCCCAAGCCAATGGAGGCGAAACCCCAGGCGGTGTCACTAGAACTTGGGCCGGGCTACGAAGTTTGGACCGGCCTACGAGGAACTTGGGCCAGGCCCATCTACTACGCAGCCCATTCGATTGGCGGGCCCCAAGTCCTCTCCTCCTCCACCTTCTCCTCCATCTCTCCCTCTTCCCGGGCGTGGTTTTAGCTCTCTTCTCCAATACCCAGTTCCCTCTCTCTAGGGTTTTTCCAGCGATCCAGCGGTACGGCATCGCCGGTCGAAGCTCCCGAAAGCCGGCTCCGTTCTGGACAAGCAGCATCGGCAGACGCCGGCGATGAAGGTCAAAGTGATCTCGCGCTCCACGGATGAATTCACCCGGGAGCGCAGCCAAGACCTCCAGGTGAGCTGCCTTTCGGCTTCGGTCTCTTTGTCATGGTGAACTTTTTCGCTGAAAAAACTCGATTCGAATAACGATCAGAGGGTGTTTCGCAACTTCGACCCCAAGCTTCGGACCCAAGAGAAGGCGGTCGAGTACGTCCGGGCCCTGAATGCCGCTAAATTGGACAAGGTCAGCTCCGGTTTTCTGACCGGTCGCTTCCGTACATGATCCGTTTTCCGTCTTCCGTTTTCGTGCTGCCTGCTTGTAATGTGGCTGTTCGTTCGTGATTGCTTTAACTTGCTTTGTTTGTAAATGGGTAGGTTTTCGCGAGGCCCTTCATCGGAGCAATGGATGGACACATTGATTCGGTGTCGTGTATGGCCAAGAACCCGAATTACTTGAAAGGAATATTTTCTGGCTCTATGGATGGAGGTATGTCGATATTATGGTTAATCCTAGCATTGTGTTTCAATTGAGCAGTGAATGAGGTGCAAGTGATTTTTGATTCGTTCTGAAGCGTTGATGCGTGAATTTGATGTTTAGATATAATGCATTGGGAAGCTACATGAATAATTCTTTCAAGTTTCTGTGGCATAGTGACAGTCGGAATGGTGTTGAGCGCCCCAAGTCTCCTATACTTGTGATTGCTGCAGCTCTTATTGTTCTTCCCTTGAAAAAGTTTCCTGTCCAAGGCTTAAAATATTTCCTGGTTTTAAGTTTTTCTTTTAGTGAAATGGGCAGTGGTCAATCTGTTGGCACGCTCGCATCTTAATTGCATGTGTCATCTATCAAACTTGTTTCCCTGCAAGTGTGAACTGTTAACTTTGACTAAATAGCTGGTAGACAGATAATTATATTGTTATTTTCATCTTACAGATATCCGCCTTTGGGACATCGCATCGAGGTAAGGCTAGTCTGATGTGATTTTCAGATCTTGATGTAGTTCGCATCTGGTATCTTTATTTGTTTATAAAGTAAAAATGTATAGTATAAGCATCTGTTTCAAAATTGACGGACAGGCGAACAGTATGTCAATTTCCCGGTCATCAAGGTCCTGTCAGAGGTTTGACGGTATCTACAGATGGTCAAATTATGGTATCCTGCGGGATTGATAGCACGTAAGTCCCATTATTGGCACTAGGCAGTTGATAAAGATTTTTGCAATATGCAACAACAATATACTGCGTTTTGTAACCGGGAAAATTCTGCATCTATTTGGTTATTTAGGGTTCGACTGTGGAATGTTCCTGTGGCTACTCTTGGGGAGTCGGATGGCACACATGAGAACTCAGCAAAGGTATGCTTGTCTGTATTTTGACACTTGTCAGGCCATGAACAGTTACCTTTTTTAACTAACAACTCAATTTCATTGCATTCAGCCAGTGGCAGTTTATGTATGGAAGAATGCATTCTGGTAAGTTTTTTTGTCATATACCAATTGCCTAATACAAATCTTTGTGTTCATTGGTAGATGCTTGTGGTATCTAAATTCTTCCATGTAACTCTCAGGGCAGTTGATCACCAATGGGATGGTGAACTTTTTGCTACAGCCGGTGCTCAAGTAGATATTTGGAATCAGAACAGGTGTCCTAAGACAGTAATTTCTCTTCTCTTATGTGATGCTATTTAGTCTTTTTATCCTGATCCTTCATATAATCCTTCCGTGTAGGTCTCAGCCAATAAGCAGTTTTGAGTGGGGAACGGACACAGTCATATCTGTAAGATTCAACCCTGGAGAACCTAATGTATTGGCAACATCAGGGAGGTATGTATGCATTGTATTTGTCCCATCCTCCCTCTTTGCTCCTCTTTGTCACGAGTTCCCATAAGATGTCCATTCAAGGTTTAACATGTGGTTTTGTCATCCAGCTATTATAGTTTGTTGTTTGTCTATTTCGTCTGTGTTCTGGATGCTCAACTAATATGAACCACCACCTTCGTTTGTCTCAACCAGCTTTAACTTTGAAAAGCATAATTACTTTGCTGTTAAATTTAATGCATATAATAACGGCCTTCTTTTTCTTTGCAGTGACCGCAGCATAACCCTCTACGATTTGCGTATGTCATCCCCAACAAGAAAAGTTATCATGAGGGTAATTTGGCAAGTTGTCACTTCAGTCTTTTATTAAGAGTGAAATCTTTTAAAGATGAAGGTAAAAAATAATAAGAAAACTTTTACTGAGGCAACTAATTATTTGAATTCATAGTGTTGAATCATGCTGAACAGCTTCAGAAACAGCAAATATGAAGATGCATACATCTTTATATGCAGTTCTTTATTTTCTTCATTTAGAATATCTTCTCTTTTTAATTTGGAGGTTATCTGAAGAACAGCTTATTCAGTGATGTACAGTTTTAGTTATGTAGTCGTTGCTAACTCAGCTCTCCTGTTTCAGACGAAAACTAATGCTATTTCTTGGAACCCAATGGAGCCAATGAACTTCACTGCTGTAAGCACAACTGTTATTTCTTGTTTATACTGTGTTGCAATTCTCTTCTTATAGGATTTCTTTCTATTCTTCTCCGATCTCTTAGACTGCAGCTATTGGCTGTCCTAGGGGAGTGCGCTAGTGATTGAAAATCTTTCACCTTCTTTTTTCCCCTTTCTTAAACGATGTGTGGGGAATAAAGAGAAGATATTCGATAATAAAGCATCGAAGTGAATCTGAAGTTTGGTTAGCACTTTTGAGTTGTGCATGGCAATATTATGTAATTGGGGGAGTTTATTTGTACAAGGCTCTATATAGATATGTGATCTTGTAGATCAGTTGGAACCTAATGGACACTATTGAATACTATGTTTATATAAAGGCATAAAATTGTGACTGTTGATGCTGAAGGAAGAGGACTTTCTTATGTTCTAGATACTATGAAGTACTCCACATCGCTTATCTATGGGGTTTACATGGGCCGTACATTCATATTGTCTCCCTCCACCTATTTAGCTTAAGCTATTGGGGTTGGATAATCTAAAAACTACTACGGTGCTGTGCTACTTTTAATTGTGATATATTATTCCTCCCATGTTTTCAGCTTTCAAGATTATAATCTTGATGGTTAGCATTGTTATAGGAATGAGCTGCCGGTTCTGAAGTGTTCTTCAGAATTTGTTTTGACAAGGTTCTTTTATCTGGGAAAAATATGAACAATTTCCAATTGTTTACATTTAATAAATGTGTCGCCAGATTTTCTTGAGCAGAAAAGATAAACAAGCATAGATTCTGAAGTGGAAAAAATTGAGAGGTGTCGCTTGAACTGTTGTCATTAGGCAATTTTTTTTTATTTAACCTTGACATTTTTGCAACTGACCATGGAAGTCCTATGTTGTTTACATGCTTAGGAAGAACAATTTTTCTGTTTTCAAACATGCCATTTCAATGCTCAGCATAGCAGAACTTACTGTAAATCACTGCTACATGTAGGCAAATGAGGATTGCAATTGCTACAGCTATGATGCTAGAAAGTTGGAAGAAGCCAAATGTGTGCACAAGGATCATGTTTCTGCTGTGTAAGATGACGGATTAGTAGTTTTAGAGACCGTTGCAGTCATGTATTTATTGCTGTCATTAAGGATTCTTTGGAATTGAATTCTGTCTCTCTTTCCAGGATGGATATTGATTACTCTCCCACTGGCCGAGAATTTGTAACTGGATCCTATGATAGAACAGTAAGTCCAGTATGACATTTAATTTGTGTGAATAAAACTGTTTGGTCAGTAAGTCCAGTATGACAATTACTCTCTCTTTCTCAGGTAAGAATTTTCCAGTATAATGGAGGTCACAGTAGGGAAGTTTATCATACGAAAAGAATGCAAAGGTATCCCCAACTACAGACTTTTGGTTTATATTCTCTCTCTCTCTCTCTCTCTCTCTCTCTCTCTCTCTCTCTCTCTCTCTCTCTAGAGATATCCTTTAGATGGTAGTCTGAATGAAGCCTTTAAATGATAAGGGTCTTTTTCAGCTTGGAATTCCAATGGGTAAGATCGCTCTTATGTCTTCTCACCGGGTTGCTTGCGTGTAGGGTATTCTCCGTCAAGTTCACTTGCGATGCGAGTTATGTTATATCTGGGAGTGATGACACCAACTTGAGGCTTTGGAAAGCTAAAGCCTCCGAACAGCTGGGAGTTGTAAGTAGTGCATTGGCACTGGTTTTATATCAATTTCTGAAACTCTCTTTTGACCATGAGGTATCTGAATGCGTACTTCTGCATAGCAGTGCCAGTGCATGAGCAACTAAACAGAGGGCACTTTTCTTTCAGAAAGAATTATTGTGATTGGCCAAATAATTGTCATTGTCATGCACAAACATGTATAAGATGTCATTGATGGAAGATTAGATTCAGGGTTGTGTGAATGCCAAAAATAAAAGGACTGAAGTTGATTCTTTATAGATCAGCAAATCAAGTTCCTCACCTTGTAACTGCATGCCATAGGTTCTCCCAAGAGAGCGCAGGAAGCATGAGTATCATGAAGCTGTCAAGAACCGATACAAGCACCTCCCTGAAGTAAAGCGTATTGTCAGGTAACAATATCTACTTCAAATCCGTGTGCCGATGGATCTTCATGCTTTTTATTTGTAAAAGATGCCAACAATATCTGAAAACACTACTTTCTGCTTCCAGTGCGAAACAGCTCATTACTCTTCTTTTCACCTTGAATTTCTTGATTGTATATGCAGACATAGACACTTGCCTAAACCAATATACAAGGCGGGTATTCTAAGGCGCACCGTGAATGAAGCAGAGAGAAGAAAAGAAGAAAGAAGAAAAGCACACAGTGCCCCTGGATCTAGTTCAGCAGAGCCATTACGTAAAAGAAGAATCATCAAAGAAATTGAGTGATACTTCTTCTATTAATGTGTTGTGCAGCATGGCATAATATTTGCATTTCTCAAATCAGTATTGTTGGATGGGGCCATCTTTCTCAAGAGATTGCTTTCGAGTGAGAAGTTGCTTCACCTCAGAGATGAGAGGACAACGATGCACAAGCTCCTCTCAGTCTTAACAATTTTGGTAGAATACGAAGGTCCTTTGTTATGAAGGGTGGCTCCAGAGTTAGCCAATGGCTGGTCATGCAAGCTTTTGCCTGGAGCATTACTATTGGTCAGGTTCTGATTTATTGGATATTTATCAAGACATGATTTGATTGTATCATAAGCTTTGATCTTAACTTAGTTCAAAAAGGGAGAGGAGATTTTGTTTCCTTGTAAATCAGACAAAAAACAGAGGAATTTATTTATTTTTATGCAGAATTGGAGATGAAATTGCTGAGCCATCACTGCTTGCTAGTCGAAACTACCAGGCATTGTTTTAACACCTGCTTCTCAAGTCAGTCTCATGGTGTGGCTGGTTTATTAGCTCTCCCTGTTCAGTGCGTTCTACTACAGTTAGGGCCTATACAGTGAAAATTTCTGTTCTTTTGTTTCTAGAATCAGTTTGGAAACAGAAATTCGTATGTTTAATTTTTTGTTCCCGAGCACAAATTTGAAAAAAATTATTGCCGGAATCAATTTTGGAACTGCATCAAGAAGCAAAAAAAAAGTAGCTTCTTAATTCTGGGAACAATTTTTCCATTTATGATTTTTCTTGGTTTGTTCTTCTTCTTCTTCCTGGCTTGCCCCTGACCACCAGTGACCAACCAGGGTCGGCGACGGCGTCGCGGCCCTCACTGCCTGGGCGAGGGCAGGTTGAGGCCTCGCCTAGCCATGGTGAGGCCGATCTTGCCGTCGCGACCCATCTCCCTCGCCTGGGTCGCGACAGCGAGGTCGGCCTTGCCTTGGCTGGGCGAGGCTCAACCTCGCTGTCGCGACCCAGGCGACGGCAAGAGCAGCGGTGAGGGCCGCGATGCCCTTGCCGACCTTGGCCTATGGCCAATCGTCGGCGACCGGCCATTGCCAACGAAGGGAAAAGAAAGAAAGAAAAATTAAAATATTCAAAATATTATTAATAAAAAGAAATTTTATGTAGTTATTAAATGTATTTTTGTTTTTTTTCTATTCTAATAATAGAAATTTTGGGCAGTCACCAAACATCTTCAAATGCTTAGAAATTATTTTTAGACACGAAATAAAAAAAAATCATTTCTGAGCAAAATTAATTTTTGGGTATAGAATTGTTGCTATGCGCACCTTTACTGGTAGAAAAGAAGGGGGATCAGGCTATAGTCCTGTCTCTGATCCACCCTGTCACCAAGGGTGCGCATGAATACCATTCTGTGCCCGGGCGCTATTTCTAAACAGAAATGATTTTTTTTTGATTCTGTGCCCGGAAACAATTTCTGAGTATTTGAAGGCTTTTGATAAATGTCCAAAATTTCTATTCCTAGAGTAGAAAAGAACAGAAATGCGTTTGGTAACTACACAAAATATCTATTCCTAAATAATATTTTAATAATATTTTGAATTGTTTAAATTTTTTTTTTCTTTTTACTTTCTTCTTTGGCCATGGCCGGTCGCCGGCGACCGGCCACAGTCCAGGGCCGGCGAGGGCGTCACGGACCTCGCCGGCCGCCGGCGGAGGCGAGGGTCGCCCTCATCGGCGAGGGCGAGGGTCGGACCCTCGTCGCCCGGGCGAGGCGGCCTCGCCGTCGCGACCCACGGCGGCCGACCTCGCAGGTGGGTCGCGACGGCGAGGCTCGGCCTAGCCGAGATCCGGGCGAGGCCGAGCCTCGCCGTCCGGGCGAGGCCGACCTCGCCTTTGCGACCAACGGCGAGGCTCGGCCTCGCTCGATCTGGCGAGGCCGCCTCGCCCGGGCGGCGAGGGTCCGGCCTCGCCCTCGCCGGCGAGGGCCGTGACGCCCTCGCGGCCCTGGGCAGTGGCCGCCGCCGGGGCCGGCGGCCGCCTTGGTAAGGCCGGCCGGTGGCCGGCGGCCGGCCAGCCTGTGGAACAACACACAAAATAAGAAATGAAAAAAAGAAAAAGAAGAAAAAAACTGATTCTCAAAATTGTGCGAGAAACAAGAAGCAACTTTTTTTACTTTGTTTCTCTTCCAAAAGCATTTCTCGGCACAAATTTTTGCAAAAATGTGCCGAGGAACAAAAAGTTTACCAAACGCATTTCTGTTCCCAAACTATTTCTGGGAACAAAAGAACAGAAATTTTCACTATTTGGCACGTTACCAAACGGGCCCCAAGTTGTCAGTTCCATCCGAGATGCCTCGAGTTTTTTCTTCCTTGGCCATCACGAGAAGGAATCATACAATGGATGATATAGAGTTACAAAAATCATCGCAAAGTGACATCATCTGTGGTATGTCGTAATTACCAATCAACTGATTTGGACATCTAGGCTGTGCAATTGGGGCCACTTAAAAAAAAAAAAAAACAAAAGCACAAACTTTAGATTGAATGATAATTATGATCTTAATTTTTTTTGCCTCGTAAAAAGACATAAATTTTAGGTCGAGTGACAAATTTGGCCTAAACTTTTTTTTATTTCATAAAAAATGACCAATTTTCACTCTTATCCCAAATCTGACTTCCCATTAACTTTTTGTCTGAAGTCACCTTTGTTTGAGAAAAAATGTTATGGCCGTGTGAGCTTGGCGAATCTCGTCTATGGCGTCTGTCGACAAGCGATGGTCTACAACTTCAACTTACGATAAAACGACAAAGTATGATCAGAAAGTTTCAATCTGGAGATCTTTTTTATTTGCCGGTGAAATGAAAGAGATGAACAGTTTCACTATTATTCTTCAAACTGTGGCTCAGAGAAGAAGACATAAATAGTGCTTTAAATCCAGTCAGCAAGCCATGTGAATTTATTGCTGAGGTGGAATAGTCAAGTTGGATAATCAATGGTTCTGAGTCAAGGTGGGCCAGATTTGGGATTTAAGCGAAAGTTTGTGATTTTTTATGAGACAAAAAAAAGTTAGGACCAGAATTGTCATTTGACTTAAAGTTGATTCTTTTTTACGAGACAAAAAAAAGTTTAAGCTAGAATTGTCACTCGACTTAAGGTTTGTGTTTTTTTTTTTTTGGGAATTAGGCTGTGCAATTGAAGTGATAAGTGCTATACGAGGTGTATGAAGATTTAAGCCGTACAAAACAAAACGAAAAACCCCAAGGTGTTTTGTTGTACTTGTCCAGTCCCATGATATGTCGGTAATGTAGACAAGCTTCTTGTGATTTCAGAAGCAAAATTTGCTAGAACTTAACGGGGCGATACGTCTCTGGTAAATACATGGAGATTTCTTTTATTAAAGTTGGAGCTGCCAACTTCTGCCCGTCTTACTTGATTAGATATAATACTCCGATTATTAATAGCCAATCCAGTCATAAACATTTTTATTTGACTAATGCTAGTATAGTCCTAAACCTTAAAAGACAATTTTCCAGCTTAGTCTATTCGACCAAGTTCTCGTTGGAACCGTTGACCAAGTTATCGTTGGAACCATTGACATGGTGATTCTCTTTGACACCGACGCCTACATCTCCCCTAAAATCTGTTTGCATGTCATTTCATGCCGTTACAAAAAATCAGAAAACGGAGGAATTTCCATTTTTGCCCGCAGGGCAATTAGGCCGTGTTCTAAGCTTTTGACCAAATTTAACAAGGGCCTCGGAGACAACAAATCGAACCGTAACGCGAAACCGTAAACAACAATAGACCGAAAAAAAAAAATAGAGCTCATTTTTAATACGAGAAAAATAAAAGTAATAATAGTATTTTTCTGTTGGGTGGACAGTACGATGAAGAACCGGTCCGGTTCTTTCTCGGCCAGGCGTTTCTTCGGCCGGCCGGCCGGCCGGCCCTCGCTCGCTCGTTCGCCGAAGCAACCTCCGAACCAACTCCCGCACGACGCGACGCCTCCACTCCCAGAGGGCAAGAGTTCCGATGATATTACGAAAATGCCATCCACCTTTACACCTCTCCTCCACCACCGAGTTGCTGCCGTGTCTTCTCCTCCTCCTCCTCCTCTCCCCCCTCAAATCGAGAAGTCACGGTGACCCGCTCGTCGTCAAAGCTCGCCACCCGAGTCCGCGACTCGTTCCCACCGAGTCACGATCCCCTCACGCCGCTCTCCGCCGTCAATTCCGTAAAACCGCCGTGGGCCGACGACGGTCGACGCACGGAACCCCCCGGGCGGCGCGAATTCGGGTGCGAATCGGGGTCAAATGATCCCCAGATCCGCGCTCCCATGGCCCTTCTTCCTCCTCCTCTTCGCCGCCGCCGCCTTCGCCTTCTCCCCACTCCCCGGCCGCGCCGATCCGGGCCGGGCCTGCTCCAACTCGAGCGCCCTCGTCGGGTTCGAGTCCGAGTTCCGGATGGTCCAGCACCAGCTGCGCGGCACCGTCACGGTCGTCGACGACTGCTCCTTTAGGGTTTCCCAGTTCGACATGCTCTCCGGGTTCGACGTGCATTGGTGGGGCGCGATCGCGCCCGATTTGGGTAACATGACGTCCGGGTACGCCGTCTCCGATCAGGTCTTGAATCAGACGTATAAAAACGAGTCCTTTACCGTTCGTTTGAGGAGTAATGTCAGCTGGGATCAGATCCCGGTTCTCGCCGTGTGGGACTTGCCCACGGCGTCGGATTTTGGGCACGTGGTGTTTCCGAATAGATCGGACATGAGCCCGGCCCCGAGCCCGAGTCCCGGGGACGGGGCGGTTAGGGTTTATAGGGAGCTGACGATGTTCGAGAACTGTAAAGCGCTGTCTCCTAACTATCGTGTGCGGTGGACATTGGATGTGGATCGAGATGTTATCGATATAGGGTTAGAAGCGGCAATCGGGACGCAGAATTACTTGGCTTTCGGGTGGGCAGACCCGGAAGCCACGTCCGAGTACATGATCGGAGCTGATGTGGCGGTGACGGGGTTCACGGAGGAGGGCATTCCATTCGCGGATGATTATTTTATTACGAGGTACGGTGAGTGCACAATTAATAAGGATGGAAATGCGAAGGGAGTCTGCCCTGATACGATATATGAGCCGACCGACCCCGTTGCAGTGAATAATACTGCGTTGGTGTATGGGCATAGAAGAGATGGTATCTCCTTTATCAGGTACCAGAGGAAGCTGAGTGTTGTTGATAAGAAGTTCGATTTGCCTGTGAATTATAATGACAATGCGACTGTGATTTGGGCACTGGGGTTGATGAGCCCGCCAGATACTCTTAGGCCATATTATCTGCCTCAGAATCACGGAGGTGAGGAGTCTGTGCAATTTGGTCATTTGCTGCTGAATGTGTCCGAGAGTGTCGATGATTGTCTTGGTCCGCTGGATGCAGAGGATAAGGAGGATCAGGATTTGGTTATTGCAGATCCGAACATGCCTCTTGTTGTTGTGACTGGTGAGGCAATGCATTACCCAAATCCACCAAACCCTTCAAAGGTGCTTTATATAAATAAGAAGGAGGCACCGGTGCTGCGAGTGGAAAGAGGGGTAAAGGTAAAGTTTTCAATACAAGCAGGGCACGATGTTGCATTCTACATCACTTCAGATTTTCTGGGCGGTAATGCCACTTTGAGAAATACAACGGAGACTGTGTATGCTGGAGGGCCCGAAGCTGAAGGAGTCCCTGCCAGTCCAACGGAGTTGACTTGGGCACCTGATAGGAACACACCAGATCAAGTTTACTATCAGTCGTTGTATCATCAGAAAATGGGATGGAGAGTTCAGGTGGTTGATGGCGGTTTATCTGATATGTACAACAACAGCGTTGTTTTGGACGATCAACAGGTAAATTTTTACTGGACTTTGTCTGAGAAATCGATATCAATTGCTGCGCGTGGGGAGAAGAAAAGTGGTTATCTCGCAATAGGATTTGGTAGTGGAATGGTGAACAGCTATGCTTATGTTGGTTGGGTTGACAATAATGGCACAGGAAGGGTCAATACATACTGGATAGATGGGCAGGACGCATCCAGTGTGCACCCAACAAATGAAAATTTGACATATGTGAGGTGCAAGTCAGAAAATGGGATTATTACAATGGAGTTCACTCGTCCACTGAAACCAGCATGCAGTCATAGCGACAGGCCAGAATGCAGGAACATAGTGGACCCAACCACTCCTCTTAAAGTGATATGGGCAATGGGTGCTAAATGGACTAATGAGCGCTTAAGTGAGAGAAATATGCATCATGTAACCAGTCAAAGGCCTGTGCGAGTGATGCTTATGCGTGGTTCTGCTGAGGCTGAGCAGGATCTAAGGCCAGTATTAGCAGTTCATGGTTTCATGATGTTTCTCGCTTGGGGTATTTTGCTTCCTGGCGGAATATTGGCCGCTAGATACCTGAAACATGTAAAAGGTGACCAATGGTACAAGATACATGTTTACTTGCAGTACTCAGGTTTATCCATTGTCTTGCTCGCCCTTCTATTCGCAGTAGCTGAGCTTCGTGGTTTGCGTACAAACTCATTGCACGTAAAGTTTGGCTTCACTGCTATATTTTTGGCCTGTGTACAGCCATTAAATGCATATTTTAGACCAAAAAGACCTTCCAATGGAGAGGAGGTTTCTTCGAAAAGGATCCTTTGGGAATATTTTCATGTGATAGTTGGCAGGTTGGCCATTGTTGCTGGTATAGCTGCCCTGATAAGTGGAATGAAGCTCTTAGGAGCCAGATATGGTGGTGAAAATGTTCATGGACTTGATTGGGCTTTAGTTATCTGGTTCTTGATTGGTGCGCTGATAGTCATGTACCTGGAATACCGTGAAAAGCAGCGGCAAAGGGAGAGAATATATGGAAGAAGTAGTTGGGTGTTGGGAAATCCGGAGGAAGATGATTCCTTGGATCTTTTGAGCCCAAGAGGAAATGCTGGAGAAAAGGAGGCTCAACCTACCGGGAGAATGGAAATTCAGCTAGAACCTTTGGCCAGATAGAAATTTTTGGGCATGAACTCACCAGTCGCAGTTTTCGTTTTTGGACAATTTTCCATGCACGTGGAAAATATCAGGCCCTTCTGTCCGTTTGAAAGTTCTCTTGCTGCTCGATAGGAGCCAAATGCGGATCGCCTGGTGATTATTTATGCACTGTACTTTTTATACTCAATACATCTACACTGACACAGTGAAAGGTTTCTAATCATCAGGTTTTATTCTTTTGTTAGATGAGTATTCCTATTTTCATGATGTGTATCAGTAATGTAGAAGAGCTTCTTGCGATTTTAGAAGCAAATTTTGCTCAAACTGAACAGCAATATGTTTCTGTAAATACATGGAGATTTCATTATCATAGTTGAAGTTGCCAGCTCCAGCCGGTCCTACCTGATCATTAGCTGATTGGATTTGGTACTTCTATTGTTGAATTATCTGCTTGTGCTTACGCCGTGGTAACATTACCAGCTCTGTTACTGCTTATTGCTAGTAATGATGAACGAGCTATATGCTGAACTAGACTCTTCATGCCGTTTCTATAAGATCTTACTTTTAGCTCCGTGCTTGATCTCGCTGTACTCTTTTGCACTGAGTAGTGATCTTGGGACTAGAGGCTTTGTTCTATTAGTATTTGTTTTTATTGGCCGTCTCTCTTTCTCCGTTACTTGTGATTTCTGCAGCTCTTATTGTGCTTCCTTTTGAGAAATATCCGGTCCAAGACCTGGTTTTACGTTTTTCATTTTCCAAAATGGCAGTGATGAAGCCGTTCGTGTACTTGCATCTTAATTGCACATGTCATCTATCAAACTCGTTTCCCTGCACATGTCATCTTAATTGCACGTGTATCTTTATTCGTTTATAAAAGGAAAACGTATAGTATAAGTATCTGTTTAAAAATCGATGGACAGGCGAACAGTGTGTCAATTTTCTTGTCGTCAGAGTCCTGTGAGAGGTTTGATAGTATCTACAGATGGTCATTCTGGTATCCTGTGGAATTGATAGCATGCAAGTCTCATTATTGGCACTTGGCAATTGATCACCAATGGGATGGTGAACTTTTTGCTTCAGCTGGTGCTCAAGTAGATACTTGGACTCCTAACAGGTGTTCTTAGACAGTAATTTTTCTTCTTTTTTGTGGTGGTACCTAATATTTTATTCCAACACTTCATATCATTCTTCCGTGTAGATCTCAGCCAATAAGCAGTTTTGAATGGGGAATGGACACAGTAATATCTGTAAGATGTAAATTCTGGAGAAACTACTGTCTAGGCAACATTATGCATTTCGTTTGTCTCCCATCCTACTGAAGATGTTTTCTTTGTTCCTTCTTTTTACATCTTCACACAAGATGTTCATTGGAGGTTTCACATCTGGTTTTATTATCCAGCTGTTATAGTTTGTTATTTGTCTACTTTATCTATGTTTTTGGATGCTCAACAAATGCAATTCACCACTTTCTTTTGTCTCAATCAGCTTTAACTGATCAGTATATTCCCTTTGCTACTAAATTTAAGGTATGTAAGAACGGCCTTCTTTTTCCTTGCGGTGAACGCAGCATGACCCTCTACGATTTGCGTATGTCATCCCCCAACAGGAAAAATCATCATGGGGGTAATTGGGTGAGTTGTCACTTCAGTCTTTTACTGGAAGTGGGATTTTTTATGGATGAAGGAAGAACTTAATAAGAAAACTTTCACTGAGACAACTAATTGTCTGAATCGATACTAATATAATCTGGCGGATCATGCTGAACAGCTTCAGAAACAGTGAATATGAAGATGCATACAACTTTATATGCAGTTGTTTGTTTTCTTAATGTAGAATAGCTTCTCTCTTTTAATTTGGAGATTAGTTAAAGAACAACTTTCTCTTTGATGTACAGTTTAGTTATGTAATCGCTGCTAATTGAGCTCTTCCTATTCAGGCAAAAGCAAGTGCTATTTTGGAACCCAATGGAGCCAAGGAACTTCACTGCTGTAAGCACAACAGTTCTATCTAGTTTGTGTTGTGGTCCAATTCTCTTCTGATAGCATTTCTGTCTATTCTTTTCCTATCTCTTAGACTGCAGCTATAGGGCTGCCCCAGGGGAGTGCGCTAGTGATTGAAAATGTTTCACCTTTTTTCTTCCCTTTTTTTAATTGACGTGCGGGGACTATAGACAAGATATTTGATAATAAAACATTGAAGTGAATCTGGAATTTGGTGGACACTTTTTGAGTTGTCCTAGGCACAACTAAGGGAGTTCATTTGTACAAGGCTCAATGTAGATGTGGTGATCTTGTAGATTGGTTGGAACCTAATACACACTATTGAATGCTACATTTAAGGCAAAAGATTGCGACTGCTGATGCTGAAAGGACTTCTTTTAGAGATTTAAGGGTGGTTTAGATTGGTTCTTTGAATTTAACCTTGTGTCGTTGATATGGTTAAAGTATCCCACCACATCACTTATCTATGGGATTTATATGGGCCTCATATTGATGTTGACCATGAGAGCCAAGTTTGGCCCCAAATCTATTTCACGTGTGAGGCTTCCGGTCATCAATTCCACGTGCCATTGTCATCCCGGTCTAGACGTGAGAGAGGGTATTGAAGTATCCCACATCACTTATCTATAGGGTTTATATAGGTCTTATATTCATGTGTTCTCTCACCACTTATTTTTCCTGCTATTTTTGCAGTTTTTAGGATTATTACTCTTGATAGTTGGCATTCTTGCGGGAATGAGCTGCTAGTGGAAGTGTTCTCTAGAATTTGTTTTAACAAGCTTCTTTTTTCTAGGAAAAATAAGATTAATTTCCAATTTCATATAAAAATGTTTCGGCAGATTTTCTTGATCAGAAAATTAATTTTATTTTTCTATTTGAACGATAGTTGCTTTGCATCCGTTAATAATTGGTTTGATCGAGCATTGTCAATTTGGAGAGAAGAGTATAATAAATATGACAGAAAAGAAAACCTCTTGTTAGTATAAATGTATGTTTGCTTTCGGGTGAAAAAACAATAATCAATAGTTAGCCAATAGTTAACAAAAAACTGGTTTAAAAGGCATTTCCTGACCAGCCTAGATATTCTTGACAAAAAATATAAACAAGCATAGATTTTAAAAGGGAAAATATTGAGAGGTGTCCCTTGAGCTGTTGTCATTAGGCAATTGTTTTTTTCATCTAAACTAGACATGTGTAGCAACTGACTGTGGAATCCTCTGTTGTTTACATGCTGGAAGAACAGTTTTTCTGTGTCCTTTGAGCACGTGAACATGGGAAGTGTCTTTTCCATACATGCCACTTTAATGCTCAGCATGGAGGAACTTAGGGTAAAACACTGCTACATGGAGGCAATTGAGGAATGCAATTGCTACAGCTATGATGCTAGAAAGTTGGAAGAAGCCAAATGTGTGCACAAGGATCACGTATCTGCTTGTGAGATGATAAATTAGTAGTTTTGGAGACCAGTTGCAGTCACGTGTTTGTTGCAGTCATTAAGGATTCTTTGGAATTGAAATCTGTCTCTCTTTCCAGGATGGATATTGATTACTCACCCACTGGCCAAGAATTTGTAACTGGATCCTATTATAGAACGGTAAGTCCAGAATGACATTTGCTTTGTGTGAATAAAAACTGTGTGGTACGTAGAATCGCAATAATCTCTTTCTCTTTCTCAGGTAAGAACTTTCCAGTATAATGGAGGTCACAGTAGGGAAGTTATTACACGAAAAGAATGCAAAGGGATACCCAATTACAGAGCTTTTGGTTTATAATCTCTCTCTCTCTCTCTCTCTCTCTCTCTCTCTCTCTCTCTCTCTCTAGTTGCTAATTCAACTGGTCAGAGTTAAATGGGAAATGTCTTCAAGATGGCAGTCTCAACCGAGCCCTTAAATGATTTGGTCTTATTCAGGTTGACATTCCATTGGGTAAGCTCACTCTTTTGTCTTCTGATCGGGTTGCTTGCATGTAGGGTATTCTGCGTCAAGTTCAGTTGCGATGCAAGTTGTGTTACATCTGGGGGGGATGATACCAACTTGAGGCTTTAGAAAGCTAAAGCCTCCGAACAGCTGGAGTTGTAAGTACTGCTGTTGGCCCTAGTTTATATTAATTTCTGAGATTCTATTGATCATGAAGTATCTGAATGCGTACTTCTGCATAGCAGTGCCAGTGCATGAGCAACTGGGCGGAGAACACTTTATTTTCACAAATACTGACTAGCCAAATAACTGTCATTATCATACACAAACATGCAAAAAATGTTACCATTAATGTCAGAATTGAGGCATGGGTACAAGTTGGTTGTGTGAATGCCAAAAATGAATGCACTTGTGTTGATTATCTATAGATTGGTAGTCTGAATCAGCAAATCAGGTTCCTCACCTATTATTGCTTGCACGCCATAGGTTCTCCCAAGAGAGCTCAGGAAGCATAAGTATCACGAAGCTGTCAAGAACCAATACAAGCACCTCCCTGAAGTAAAGCGTATTGTGAGGTGACAATATCTAACCTCAAATCCAAGTGCTAATGGATCTTCATGCTCTTTTTTTGTGAAATTTGCCAACGAAATCTGAAAACACTTCTTTCTGTTTTTAGTGTGATGCAGCTCATCACTCTTTTTTTCCCCTCAAAATTCTTGATTTGGATATGCAGCACAGACACTTGCCTGAACTAATATTACAAGGCAACTATTCTGAGTCGCCTTGTGAATGAAGCAGAGAGAAGGAAAGAAGAAAGAAGAAGAGCGCACAGTGCCCCTGGATCTAGTTCAACAGATCCATTACATAAAAGAAGTCAACCAGAAAAAAAAATCCTCTTTTTTTCGCAGAATTGCAGATGATATTACTTAGCCATCAGTGCTTTAAAGAATTATTTATCACCTGTTTCTCGAGTCAGTTTCATCGTGTGGCTGGTTAATTAACTCTCTGTTCGGTGCGTTCTATTACAGTTCCGGTAGGAAATAAGAGGGGGATCAGGCTAAAGTCTATTTCGGATCCACTCTATATGGTGTCAATTCCATCTGAGGTGCATCAACTTTTCTCTTTGGCCATCTTAAGATGCATTATATTAACTCATCCTTTTTCGAGACCGAATTATACGATAGAGGATATTGAGATAACTGAAAACGCCGCACCATTGATCTTCACAAAAAAAGAATATGACATCATCTGTGGTGTATGTAAAAAATACCAATAAATGGAACATTTTGATCATCTAGGTGCCAGCGCTTTCCAATATGAACCATATTAGATGCGGTCCTCATCCTATCAAAATGGAAGGGAAATCACAATCAGATTGATCACCTCATATTAAATGTGGGAGAAATTTTAAATGGATGACCGAAACAAAGCTACTACATGCTGTATTGGAACTGTCAACTAAGAACACCATATAACTAGTTTTTGGAACAACCAAGCGCCAAACGGTCATAAACACAGAATAAGAACGTGAAAAAGTTGGTGCCATTCCCGCGGCAGTAAATTGCAAAGACTGTGACTAGTTAAATATTTGCAGAAACCAGTTTTTGTGTAAAAAGCCTCAATGTCTAACAAGCTCATCATTTCCGTTAGCTACTCTAACACTGCCAAAGGGTCGACAAGGTCCTTCGCTTTTACAGGTCATGATACAGTGGCTTGAGATCAATAGCAGATAGCCCCATTCACTAATCATAATGAGAATGTTAGTAGGATTGCTTCAAGATTGCAATTGCAAGATCCTCTCTAATAAAGGTTTCAGATGCCACTACTCGCGCCCAATTGTCAATGACAGGAGATCAGGCTAAGCACGTTTTTTACGATCCTCCTCCTCCTCATCAGAGTCACCACTTTCGCGGAAGCGTGGATTCTTTTCCTACAAAATTAAACGAGACCATAAACTTCCCAAAAAGCAACATCCAGATATAATGAAAAAACACATACAGCAAAACATCATGTTCTATCATCATATCCATTATCTAAAAGTACCAGCCAGCTTCAGCATGGTTATGACAACAAAAATGGGATAAACGAGCATACACTCCCTCCTCTCAACTAAAGGAACCCTGATATGACAACATGAAACTATTGGTGGTGCTAACAATTTACAAAGTAATTTGCATGCTTCAGAGTAGAGGTACATGGTGAACGGATGAATCCAGAAACCCACTCCAGCCTGACTAAATCCCTCTATCTTATATTCTTAGGATACGAGTACTGCATCTCCAGTTGAGATAGATATTAGCAATTTCAGGAAAACTAAAGAAACCAAACTGGAATGATAGACTTGAAGATACAGATACTAGTGTTGAACAGTATCTAAAGGTGACATTACCAGTCTAGAATCAGGATCTTGGTCTCTCCTGGATTCATGGTCTGACGTTCTCTTTGAAGATTCATATGGACGACGGTCATCTTCTCGGTTTCGTTTCCGATTGTAATCTGCGTTTTCAGGCACAAAGTATAAACAAGCGATGCCCATGAAATTGTTCAAATGTCAGAAGGATCTAGAATCAGTTTTGCCAATGTCACCTCTACTGTAATGGTATGATCCGCCTTGACTCTGGCTTCCACCATGCCTTCCATCTGAAAAAACAATGGTCAGAAGATCCTGTACAATACTCTTCAAATCAAAGGCTATACAAAATAGTCTAAGTGACGCAAGAAAACAACGGACTTGATGCTGCCTTGGATTGTAGAGGAATTGGGTATTTCCAGGCATCTGCCGGACTGAGGTAGAGATGAGGTGGGTTTTAATGTTAATTAACGACTCATATAGCATAAAAGCAGCAATTAATTCCCTGCATTTGGTTAATCCCCTCATGTATTCATCTTGCAACCAGCAACTCATTTGCCTCCAAGGAGGTAGCACAAAGACCAGCACGTTTACCACACTGGAACATACAGATAGATGTAAATGAAACCAGCCCTAGAACACTTACAAGGAGGTGGTATAACAGGTGGGAAGGAGCCCAATGAACCAGCACCATAGTCTACAAGCTGCCGTTGTGCTTCAAGCTCTTTCTGTACTAACTTTCCATATCCACCTCTACGTGAACATGTTAAGGAAAATTGAATGGCAAATATAAAGTCTTCCAACTATATTTATAAGACAGAATTTGAGGAAAAAAACATCAACAATATTCTTCACACAAGTTGATATTTCAACTAGGACCTCCAACATTGAGAGAGAGAGAGAGAGAGAGAGAGAGAGAGAGAGAGAGAGAGAGAGAGAGAGAGAGAGAGGAAACTAAGATAATGCTCACCTAATAGTTCAATCCTTTGAATAAATATGAAGAAGAACGTAACGAATAACTAATATCAAAATGAGCAATTCAAGAAACTCATATCTATCCATGGATGAAATTATAAACATAAATATTTTTACCATTTATGAGCTCGGCCGAAATTCCTCCATATTATCGACCTTAAACTGCTAACCACCATGCATTCTTTGAATGATAATATGCACGCATTACCAGTTGTTATCATTTGGGCCAAAAGCAGAAAGCCAGCACATAACTTCATGCATTTCTATAGTTTACTATAGAAACCATTTGTAAAAAAAAGAATTCACATCCATTTGACCCTATGAGGACCAAAGCTTTTGGAAAAATAATTTCAAAAGGATATCTGGATCATAGTCAGTGCGATATTCATCTCGTACCTGAAGAAACAAATTAGAAAGATTGATTTAGTTGAAACAAAATAAGTTGCTCTAGTTTTTTAAACAGAGAAAAGAGGCAATCTCACTTGTCCACCACTTCGACCACGGCCCCATTGCCTTCCTTCCTGAAATCCCCAATCAAAATCTACACGGATTGGACGGTCATCAAGAATTGTCCCACTAATATATTTGACAGCATCTTCGGTATCTTCTCTAGAATAGTATCTAAAAGAAATTCAATAAGTAAGATACGTAAGAAAACTAGTACACACAGCGAGATAAGTGGGTCTAAACATGTCACAGAAAATGGACTGTCTTCAGTAATGACTCTATCTGACACTAATCCAACCGAAGGAAATATAACTATTGTGTTATCATACAATTATGCAAAATTAGAATCACAGTAAGATGGGATAAAAAGATCATAGTACAAAGAGCATACGTTACAATGTCATTGTCACACTTAAAAATCGTGATGAGTACACATTAAACTATTCTTTTCCCTTCTGCTAAAGAACAACTGCCTATCCGCTTGTGCAATTAGACCTAGTGGATGACATCATTGCTAACAATTACTGACACCACCAGCTACTAGAACAAATTATCTAGTTAAATTTCACTGGCGCAGTACAAAATCAATTAGGCAACTGAAATTAACCTAATGTGCCTCAAGTAAACAATCCAAGTAAACTTAAGGACTTCGCAATTAAAGTGAAATTCTATATGAGGCTATTGAAGATTTAGACCATACAAAACAAAACAGAAGCCACAAGGTGTTTTGCTATTCTTATCCAATCCCATGATAATCTTCTTGATTTCTCCAGCTCTGGTGAAAAGCTCATAGACTTGTTCTTCAGTTGTGTAGAAGGACATATTCCCGATGTAAACAGTGGTAGAAGATAGCAGTGCTTGTTCAAATTCCTCTTGTGTACCAAGAAATTTTCTGTCTCGGTACGCTGAAAGCTTGTTTTGGTCCTGAGATGTAAAGACAAATCAAAAGGAAGGCAAGAAAAGGGAATCGCCGCATTCCATCACACAGATATATACGCAGATGGATATTTTCTTCACCAAAGCCAAGTGTATTTTATGTTCATGCATGTTTAACCATCCGCAGAACTCATGAAGAAAGCGGGTATCAAGTGATGCCTATGTTAATTCTCTCAAACATTAACAAAAGGCTCCAGTCCGCAAGACCTTAACCTCGGTCACACAAAAACACCAAAGAGAAATTGTAGAAGTCGACCAACACATCTCCAGAAAAAACTCTTAATTTCGCCGCGGCAATCGTGCAGCACGCCTAAGAACTAGACAAAAACCATTAGAGAAACATCCAGATAATCTGCTACACAGAAAGCAATCGAATGACAACCCGAACTCTCTTAAAGTGGCGGCGAAACCATTCGAAGCAAAAGGATATTGTCCTTCTTCGAAGAGTTTTCATCACGCGCGCGCTAAAGACTTCAATGAATGGCCAGATATAATCTTCAAAACAACCGAAAAAAACGATCCAGATCGTCGATCACGAAATTACCCAACCCAACCAAACAACAAAACATTTGAACAATCAGAGTCCGCTTTGCCGGAACATCCGGAAAAAAAAAGGGGTTCATCGGGAAAGAACCAAACCAGAACAATCTCCTCCCACAATCTTTTCCCGGAGAAAAATCTAAACTTGTCCAACCAATCGCACAGAGAGCTCAGTCGATCGACAGCCCAGAAATGGGGGCGAAAGGGGGAGAAAGAAAAGAGGAACGCCGCGCAAATGACGAACAGAGGAGGGACGCGTGCGTACCTTGAACAGAGACGCCATTGCTAGAGAAATCTACAAAAAAAAAAAAAAAGAGAGCAGAAATTGTCAGCAGCCGCTCGCAGCTGAAGCACGAATCGCTACCGCGCTGAGCCGGTGAACATCAACACGAACCCTAGAGAGAGAGCACGTTGGAGAAGACGAAGATAGAGAGAGAAAGAGGAGAGAGAGAGAGAGAGAGAGGAGACCTCGAGAGTGGCTGGAGCTAGCACCAGTCGCAGGAACACAGTGCGAGGGAGAGGGACGACGTTGTTTCGGGCTTTTTCACAGTCGTCGGAGCTCGCGGGCCACGAAAGCGGATCCGGGCTTCGAGTTCGGGTTAAACCTGAACCCGGCTTCTCTTATGTCTGGCTCGGCGTTACCTATCTGAGCATCCAAACGGACTCCCTCGGAAGGGTTTTATGCACTATACTAGTATACTGCTCCAAAAACCCTCTTCGAAAAACACATTCGCTCCACCGTGTGCTGCCGACCCGCCGCAAGAAATGGCCTCGGCCGCCGCCAGATCCATCTTCCGGTCGACCTCCTCCGCCCGCAGCGCCGCGTCGAGGGTGGCGTCCGGCGCCGCCAAATCCGCCGGGTCTCCACCCCGCGCCGCGACCAACCGGCCCCTTCTTTCTCACCGGATTTTCAGGTGAAAGTTCTTTTCGATCTCCGTCCTGTTCATATCGTCGTGTTCGTGGTCGGGGTTCGAATCCGAAGGTGCGTGGGTTCAAGACGTTTTGTCAATTGTGATTTGAAGGAGCCCCGTGGAGATGAGCGCCTGTGCGGAGACGATGCTGCCTTACCACACCGCCACTTCCTCGGCGTTGATGACTTCGATGCTCTCCATCTCTCGCCGCTCCTACGGATGGCTTCCCGATGGTAAACTTTCAGCCCCAGTTTTCTTATGAAAGAATGCAGCACTTACAAAAATTTGAATTGCGCTTGAGAGTTCTTTGGTGGCTTATTTGTCTTTGGTTTTGCTTGATTGGTTCGTAGTCTACGTTAATTCGGAACGGCGTGGGAACTATGGTAGAGGGTACCCTCTTATGTTAGCATTTTAGGCTATTTTGTGCTGCGCCTCGCGACTCATGTTTGCGATAAGTAGGTCAGATATAGACGGAATGTATACTTCCATGTGCTACGCGAGCATGTAAATTCGTATTTAGATTGCTGGCGTGAACCTTTGTGAAGATGTAGTGTCGTTGTCTAGGTGGTCTCACTGATGGGTTTCCCTTCTACTTGATTTTTTAGGTATCTAACCATCACTCGTAGGCCACCTTGATAGCCTTTTCTTGCTTTATATCTTCTGGTGAGTTGCTGTGGTATTTTTGGTTTAATTGATTTTGATCTCATTTTTTCTTGATATGATGAGGACCTGAGGTTGTGTTTGTGCAGTTACTTTCAAAGTTTAGAGTTTTAAAATTTTGGGAATCATACGAGGAAATATAGACTATAGAGTACCGATAGAGAAGTTGCTGAGTCTTATTCAGTGAAAATACAAGTGCTTTAGAAATGAGAACAATTTTTGTTGTTGTAGCTAGTTTTCTTTTTATCGTGGAGAAGAGCGCTCCTTTTTCATCAATTTCTCAAGTGCACTAGCATTACCCAGTCATGTACATAGTCTCTTTGTTGTATTGTAGAGAACCGTGAGGGCACCTGGTTGATCTGATCCTTATTTTAAACTATGAGAGGAAGGCGCGCTCTACTTGTTATCATTCTAAAGCAGATGGATGCTTGTGTTTGTGACCAATACCACCGAGAAATGATGCACCTCTTATCTTGAACGTAGATGGTTTTACATTTCTCCACCTCTATCTATCAATAAAGAAGTGCACGCTCCTCGTTTTTGTCATTTTTGTAGGCCGACCCAAGACTAGATGAAGGACAAGAAGCAAAGATCAAACCTTTATATTTTGGCTCCATTCGAACTCCAGTAGTAGCTTTAAGAGTAGGCAGGATATCTCCTGTTGTAATGGAACGGTTGTAATGAAACACGGTTCAGTTTTTCAAATAAACTAAGCTTTGAATTCTCAGAACTTTTTCTCAATTGAACTCTTGTGATCATCTGTTTGTCATTTTAGATGAAAAATATCATATTTGGTCCAATATTTGGTTATGTTGATTTTTGAGTGCTCTTTGTTGCCGGGATCTACAACTTGATGATGATATCCAATTTTACGTCTTATTGTAAAAATTCAAGAACTCTTGGTTAGAAATGATCCAGTTATCATAGGTTTCACTTATCAATGAATGTCCGTTGCATCACTAGACTTTCATGCTTGGTGTATGGATTTTGAACTTTGGAGTGCTGCTCATGTGTGATTTATTACAAGCTTTTTGTATATTTCTTCTGGATGTGATATTCAGAGTCAATAGTTCTTCAATTATTCTAGAATATAGGAATGACATCATTATCAGGAGTTCATTCACTGCTCTTTCTCAACAGCTTGCAATGATGACGTGTAATGAGTGCTCAGGGGGTTCATTCTGTGCAAGTTCTTAGAGCTTAGAAGTTGAATGAGCTGCAGAGCAGACCAGTTGATACTGTGTTCTAAGTCTAGATGGACTAACATCAAGCTAGTTGTAGTTTCTTTGCCTTGAGTGATGCTTCGCTTGGCAACCAGAGATTTCTACTAGGCTAAGGTTTCTATAGATTTTTGGAGGAACTCTTCTGCCAAGTTTTTGTATACGATCAGTTATTTATCAAACAGAATGCTGATTCTGACGTTCAATCAGCTTGCAATGATGATGTATGACCAACGTTGAACGGCATCGGGACAAGTGTTGTCAAAGAGTTCATGCATCTGAGAGATTGTGCAATGAGGTCCTGGCAATCCCGTTATGGAATATTCTCTCTTTTGTTCTTGTTCTCTTCTCTTGGCTTTGCTTTTGTAACTATTCTCTTGAATGTTTAGGATCAAAGCTGTCGTGTTTTTCAATCTGTTCTTTCTTTATTACCCCAATGATAAAGCTCTTAAAGCTGTATTGCTACATTTCTTCTTTAGTTCATCATGACTATAATGTAATGGCATAGAGCAGTTTGTTTAGACCGTGCGAAAGAAGGTCTCCACCTGGCCAACATTTTACATTTCCTCTTTCACTAGGTCAACTATTTCAATGGCTATGGAAAACCTTTAAGGGGGTAACTTGATGGAATGAGCCTCGGAATCTAATACCACACCCGGTAAGTGGGCCTAAAACAAAAAATCTGCAATATGCAAGGAGACTTGCCAATTTACAGTCGAAATGGAATTTTAGGCAATGACCTCACAATCTGATTGATCTTTACTTTAGACAAATCACCTGGCCTAGAAATAAGCATCTCAGTTGACTTTATAGCATAAGAAAGTGGCCTGTAAAGAGCTACAATTTCACTTTTATTTTGACACTTAAAGAATGGTTGGGTTTTACCAACTATCCTGTATTTTCATTATCTTTTGGCCAAGATTTGATTTATCATCTTGACTTAGCTAGGGATTCTATGAAGAGTGCAATGCAGGTTTAGTTGCATCCTGCTGACACCTGCCTTTTTGTTTTTTAGGTCTGTAATTTCTGGCCCGGGGAAGAATATTCATGCTGGTCATCTTGATTTGAGTTCCTATTTCATCTTCCCTTTCTTGGTTTTGTAAGTTTCCCAATCAATTTGCAGTATTCACTAGTTGTAATAATGAGTAGGATGAAACAATGTGAGGTTGCCAGCATTTGGGATTGCCCTCATTTTCTTGAGATCGTTCCCCTTATCTCGTTTAGCAGATGAATTTTGTGTCCCTCTTTGCAAGTTTCTCCGACTTGATCTAACCTCGGCTTACATTGGGTTTGCACGTGCAGATCCATGTTACTTCCCAATATAATCTCGAGGGTGTCCATATCAATTTGTAGTTGGGACCAACAGTCTGTACTCACTTTTAGGTGTTGCGTAGATTTGTCCAGAGGAATAAATTTCAGAAACTCCTGCAATTCCTCCCATTTTCAATCAATCAGATGCATGTCCTATAGAAACCTAGACCCTCAAACACTTAGGTTGCGCTTCACGCCGTGCTCACAGATTGATAATGGGGACAACGATTTATGCTAATTTGAATTGCGATATGTATTTTAAAGAGCAACCGTTTAATCTAGAAGTCTCAATTATTAAGAATCTCAATACTTTCCCTACTTGCAAAGGATTGAAGGCAACTATAGATACTTGAAAGTGATTGGCGTAGGTGGAGTTTTGACTTAATGGACTCGTATTAAGGCTCGTTAGGAGAGCTAGGCTTGGTCTTACCATTAACATTTGCTGTTGGGCTTATGTCAATCTACGTCTTTATGATATGGGCCCTTGCCCCTAACATGTAACATACATCATTACCAAATCTTGCCACTTGTTTTGTTCCTTCATCTCTCTTCACTTCGTCTTATTTTCATGGTCATTATTTGCATTTACCATATAAAGGCTTTGTAATATAAGAGCCCTAATATAAGAACCCCGCAAACGCAAGGCACGTCTTCTTCTTCTTTCTCTGTTTTGTGGGGAAATCAGTCATGACAGATACATCGAATACAGCCTTACAAGGGTTTGCCCGAGTATTGCTACGAATACAGAGATGAAATTCCCAATTCAAAATTCTAAGTTGTGATTCTTAAGATTTAGCTAACAATCACTGATTGCAACTGCATTTATTCAGTTTGTTTGCTTTTGATTATCTTTTATTTTTTCTTACTCCGTAGACAAACATTTGTGCGTGCATATATTGTACAACAACTCAATGAAACTCAACGGGATAAGGACACCACGAGTGCCTTAACTTTCGTACGGCGATCACTTGAGTATCATAATTTTTTTTTGGCCCACTTAAGTGCCATTTCCGGCAAAAAAAGATCACTTGAGTGCCATCGGCCATTTGGCAATCGGAAAATCCGACGTGGATAATATTTTAATATTTTATTTTTCAATTTTTGAGTTTTTATTTTTATTTTTATTTTTCCTTTTTTTTTTGCAATTTTTTTTTCAACTATGGGCGAGAGTTGCCGGCGACCCTCGCCGGCTGCGAAGGCCTCGCCCAGATTGGATGAGGGCCGCCTTGCCCTCAGCCACGAAGGCTCCGGGCGAGACCGTCGCGGCCTCGCCGGCGGCGGGCAAGGCCGCGAAGGCCGTCGCCTCGCCCGTTCATCAATGGGACTGAAAGTAAGTTACCCATATCCCATTTCATCGCCGTAGAGAGAAAGCTTGGCTTTTTATCCGATTTGTTGAGGAATTTCCTTCATGGGTCGTCCGAGAAGCTGATGCGTGAGTGGGGATGTTGAAATGCAGTTATCGTCGTTGAATCTGCTGAGAATGGTGGCGGAGCAAGAGGGTTGCTCCATCGAGGAGCTCAACGCAGGGAGGGTGTGCGACTGGTTCTTGAAGGACAAGCTCAAGCGAGAGCAGAATCCTGAGTCCGCCATTCTTCAATGGGATGACTTCGAGTTCCAACTTTGAATTTTGCTGCTGAATTTCTCCAAGTATGACAAAGCTCGTCTTTCAAGTGGGTTCAAACGAGTGTAACTTCTGAAGGAATGTATCGAGAACCGAAACAGAACGATCACGCAGAAATTAGAGAAAATAGACGATGCACGAATTTACCCGGGTTCACCCTCGAATAGGGCTACGTCCTGCAAAGAGATTTCACTATATTTTAGGTTTACAACCACTCAACTCGTTACAATGATAAAAAAAACGAGCAAAATATATATGTGCCCCAAACGGGCCAAAATCTAAACCTATACGAAATCTCTTAATCTCGCACCATACAGGCCAGCTTAAATAAAAGTCCAAACCCGTTGAGGTTTCGGGGGCGCTGCCCCCGAACCCCCGCATTTCGCACGCAAGGGTCACATGTCGTCGGATAACATTTCAGTTTCCCTAAGCTCACGTGGGCGTACCCGGTGTGAGAAACAAGGGTCCCGAAGTATTCGCCAACTCCAACAACTTCTGAAGCCAGGAGCTCGGAGTACCCGAAGTATTCGCCAACTCCAACAACTTCTGAAGAGAGGAGCTCGGAGTACGTAGCCCGAATGATACATGAACTCACTCAATTCTTTCAAACAAATTACAGTGTAGTTCGTACGTATGGAGAAGGGAATGCTTGTGCTTGACGGGTTGGCCGGTTGGGCAAACGATTCTGGTGATGTAAATCCATGGCGACGCGGCTCTGTTTTCCACTCAATGGAGAAACAGGGGACTTAACCAAATTATGCAGAATCAAGTGATTTCAGTAATATTCGCATGAATTAGCAGCAAGCCTCGCCAGATTTGGCGAAAGCCCTTGGCGAGGCCGCGATGGCCTCACCAAGGGCCTTCACAGCCATATTGGTCGATGGCGAGGTGGCCCTCGCCCAGTTTGGCCGAGGGCGAGGCCTCCGGCGAGGGTCACCGGCGACCCTCGCCAACCTTGAAAAAAAAAACGAAAAATAAGAAAGAAAAAGAAAAATTCAATAAAATAAAATTAAAAAAATTCACATCGGATGGAAAATTAATTAAAAAAGCCACGTAGGACGATTTACCGGAAGTGATACTCAAGTGATCTTTTTTTGCCGGAAGTGGCACTTAAGTCAGTGAAAAAAAAGTTATGGCACTTAAGTGAGCGCTGTACAAAAGTTATGGCACTTCCAGTGTCTTTATCCCGAAACTCATCCTTTTGACTCCGCATATCATCATAAATTATGCCCCCACACACGAGGACGCTCAATGTTCAAGAACGCTAAATCAGTTTGCATGGTAGGAAATTGTGATGGTACATTAAATATCAATTTGGTGCAGCAAGCCCACATGGCCAACTGCGTGTGCTATTGCTCACATTTCTCACATATAGAGAAAGATATTCACAAGGATTGTACTCTCCTCCTTGAAAGTGAAATTTGCCTATAGCCAATTTCGAACAAGGAACGAAGCTATCTGACAAATTTGAAAAGGAAAGAACCAATTTATTTCACAGAGGAATTTGAAACCTGACAGCTAAAATACAAAAAAAAAAAACTATCTTGAATATGATTAAGACATGAAATTAACAACTTCGAAATATCATGAGAAAAATGATTTTTGTAGAATCATACATGGTATTAATCGGCATCCATTAATTTGAATTTAATCTGATTTAACTTTTTTTTTGGTTGAAAATCTGTTTTAACTTTACCCATCTCATAATCGCCTCATTTCCTATTTTCTATCTTTTTACCTTTTATGGGCTTTTTTTTGAGAAAATTCCAATTAAGGACCCCAAGTGGAGTCAAATTCTCAAAAAGGGTCAAAGTGAACGTTGTGTCGAATAAGAGCTGAAGTCTTCAATCGGTTTCAAATAAGAACCCAAAGTGCCCAAAAAGTCTCAAATAAGGACTGGGTTCTCGTAGGCCAAAATACCTGCCGGTAGGCAAGAAAGTTCTTGTTCGACCTAGGAACAGTTTTTTAATTTTTATTATTTTCTTCTGTTTTTCCTTTTCTTTTTTTTTTTCTTTTCCTTTTCCTTTTCTTTTTTTTTTCTTTTCTTCCTCCGCCGGCCATAGCCGGGGCCGGCGGAGGTCTCCGGCCTCGGGCGAGGGCCGCCCTCGCCGGCGTCGGGCGAGGGCCGCCCTCGCACAGGGTGGCGAGGCCGGCCTCGCCCGGTTCTTGCGCGAGGGCTCGACCTTGCCGGCATCGGGCGAGTCCGGCCTCGCCCGGTTGCGGGCGAGGTCGAGCCTCGCCAGATCTGCGAGGGCTCGGCCCCGCCGGCCGCTGGCGA